TGGGTTTTCCTGTACTTGTACATCAAGACATCGTTTGACTCCCAGCCTTGAAGCTTCTAGCTGACAGATCTTCCAGTCACGCTGGTGTGCATTAAAGGAGGTTCAGACTCTGACCTATCGCAGCTCCACCAAGTTGGATTCAGGTCAGGGAAATCTCACTTGTTTTTATGTGATGTCAAATGTTCTAAAGATCAGGACTTTCCTTTTTTCACAGAGAGTTTAAGAACGACAGATTCTAGGAATTGGTACTATTTGACCATGAGTAGACAAAGACTATGAATTGGTCCTCGGCTGCCGAATCTCCTTCAGCATTGTTCTTACTTTGTGTACATAGCAGACTGGTAATTTTACATTCTGTAAATACAGCATTTGATATAATATTTATTTTGACAGCGGGGAACAATAAGATTAACCTAGGGGAAGCCTTGTTGGTCTGAAGTGCAACTGATGAAGATCTAACAGTACACTGGTATTTACAAATTAATCATCTTCCCGAGGCAAGAGAGTTAACTGACTTTAAAAGTCCAGTTTCCACCCTTGCCGAACTAGGCTGGAATTCCTGGGCTCGATCGTAGCGCCACCAGTGGCTATAACGAGTTATGTCCTTTCTATGCCTCTCCTATTGACCAATCAGATTCAACCTCTCGTATCACTTGCATTTGCTTCAAACAAAACGGTGGCGCCCAGTTAAGACGATCTGATTGATAATCAAGATCTATATTGTGATAAAACGGGTCTTACATCGCTAAGTGCATCACGTGAGCACCTTGATTAAAAGCATGAAAAGATTAAGAAAATATTCTGTTGACAATGAGTTAGCAGTGCACATGCTTTGCAAATCCTGCAGTCGACCGAAATCTGCATGACACTTTACGAACCGGATTTCGATTTCGGTGCGCGATTTTGATTGGACTATGCATAGACTTGTTAGTCCAGCCAAAATGTAACTCCATAATACCAGCCTAGTTCAGTAAATGTGGAAACTGGACTTTTATAGTCAGTTAACTCTCTTGCCTCCGGAAGATGCAAATTAATGAGCAGGTTGGAACACAATGTCTGTAATCTGACACAGACTGAGGTAGATGACAAGTGCTGAAACTGAAGCAAATCCAGAAATTCTTGCAAAATATTTTCAATGCAAAAAAACATCAATCTTTGGTACTTTTGGTCCTCAATACAACAAAAACATTCAAAAGACTAATTTACTATTAGCGACAACAGCTCCACTAAAAGAACCTCAGCTCTTGTTGTTTCATTTCATGCCATTTGTCTCTACAATATCTCCCAGTTTCACAAAAGTAAATGTGTCTTCTGATAATCTTAGAAATTTTGAAATCCTTGTGTTGGACCAAGTCCAAAGAAACTTCAGTCCTTCTGAGAGGGCACATTGGTTCCACAGTCAAGACGTCTTCTTTAACAAAAATACTCGATATCAGGTTTAGAAAGTTCCACTTCTTGTTTCCGCTTGAATCATTTCCATCCAGCTTCTCTGGATTTATTGTACATGCTTATGGGGGAGACTCAACACACTTTAAGTGACATGACTCTGTCTACTTCAGTGGCATTCTCTCTATGATAATTAGAGAAAAAGTCTTTGCATCACTTCATTAGATATGCTTGGCAAAAACGGCATCACTATATAGCTGTTGACAAATGATTATTCACAAAAACATAGGAATATGGATTTCAGTCGGACATTTTTGTTTGAAATAATGAAAAAAATGTTCTGCACATTGCCATTGACATATTTTCAAACCTTTCCACTGTACAAATGTCTCTATAACACTAGACGCTTCGAAAACAACTACTGTTCAAATTCAACAACATAAACACGAGACAGTGTCAGGCAGCTTACCATAGCATATCAACAAGACAGTGTCAGGCAGCTTACCGTAGCATATCAACAAGACAGTGTCAGGCAGCTTACCATAGCACATCAACAAGACGGTGTAGGGCAGCTTACCATAGCATATCAACAAGACAGTGTCAGGCAGCTTACCATAGCATATCAACAAGACAGTGTCAGGCAGCTTACCATAGCATATCAACAAGACGGTGTAGGGCAGCTTACCATAGCATATCAACAAGACAGTGTCAGGCAGCTTACCATAGCATATCAACAAGACAGTGTCAGGCAGCTTACCATAGCATATCAACAAGACAGTGTCAGGCAGCTTACCATAGCATATCAACAAGACAGTGTCAGGCAGCTTACCATAGCATATCAACAAGGCAATGTCAGGCAGCTTACCGTAGCACATACACAAGACAATGTCAGGCAGCTTACCGTAGCACATACACATATATAACAAAGCACAAGTAACTGTCATCATCGTGCATGCACACAGAGTATCACATCTATTGCTGGAAATATATCACAAATGTCGCCCAGCAAGAGCTCGGCTTCAACAGTGTCCACTGTACACAACCGATGCAATGTCTGCCTGTCACAACAACTCCTTATAAGGCTTCCATCAACAACGGCATCAAGGCAGAGTTGAAGGAGAAACAATGATGTCTCTGTTGGAGACCCACTCAAAAGCAGGGTTTCAACTTCTAGGTCAGCAAGTGATCGTAGTGCTATTATTTTCCCAAGTCTATGTTGATGCAGGTATGCTTACTCCGGTAATCACTCAACACAGAGTTTTAAGGTGATTGTAAGGCTGAGATTGCTGTAGGTCTCTGTTGACCGTTAGTTCAGGTTATATTTTCCCAAAGGAATGGCCAGTTCACATTTAGCTTATATTTTATCATTGAAGACTTTTTACAAAGTGTCTTAACATTTCTTAAAGGAGTCTTTTTGAAAATGATGACACTGATATTATCTGAAACTTCAGTTTGGAAAACTAAAACTGTCACTAATTGTTATATAAATTGACAAAATTTAGTAAAAGACAGACTGTGTTTAGAACGCTGAAATAATGACACGATTCCTCCCACACTGGCTTTCTTTTCAGAAACATATCCCGGTATCGCAAGGGTTGCAAAAACATGACGTATGATTCTGGATTTGAAGAGGACATAGGACTTGGAACAGTTGTAGCACTATGATGACTTTATGCAAGAGGCCCACTTGCATCCAGTGATCTTAGCGCAAAGATGCCATAACCCCCATACTTTAACATTGGCTTACGATACTCTTTAGCGCTAAGATCGCTTTGTGCAAGAGGACCAGGGCCCACTTGCACAAAACGATCTTATCGCTACAACTATTGTAAGCCTATGTTAAAGTATTGGAGTTACGATCATCTTAGCGCTAAGATCGCTTTGTGCAAGAGGACCTCGAAAATCGAAAGTTCCACAAACTCAAACCTATCCAGTTTTGAAGACATGGCTTCGTTATGATGTTGATCAGCTGATTAAGGCAAATGGAACAAATGGCAAATGAATTCTTTCAAACAGTATTCGTATCACCCGAAGCCAAGAAGCTGTCTTTGTCTCCATCTGTTCATCTCCTTCAACCAAGACCTGGCAGTCCATGAAAGTCTGCTGGGGCTGCCTGGAATGTGCTACTTGGAGGCAGGACAGTGTGGTCACAAATGCTTACAAAAATACCGGGAGGTTAAAAATATATATCTTGATGGTCAGAATGGCTAAAGACCATTTCTCATGTGCAATGAATAATGATTATATATTAAATCTAAACTAGCTTCAAACATCACGGTCTGTGTCACCAGGAATACTAATCCTGGACCAACACCATACTGGACCAACAAAACATCATGGTCTGTGTGACCAGGAATACCAATCCTGGACCAGTAAAACATCACGGTCCATGTCACCAGGAATACTAATCCTGGACCAACACCATACTGGACCAACAAAACATCATGGTCTGTGTGACCAGGAATACCAATCCTGGACCAGTAAAACATCACGGTCCGTGTCACCAGGAATACCAATCCTGGACCAGTAAAACATCAAGATCCATGTTACCAGGAATTCCCATCCTGGACCAACAAAACATCACGGTCCGTGTCACCAGGAATACCAATCCTGGACCAACGAGATGTCCTTCTTCAGCTTGGACACACATCAAGGTCTCAAGACAGAGTCACCAAGTCCTGTGTTGCTTGGATTGATCACATGCTGAGCTGGCACAACACAATTCTTCTCTTAACATGGTCGAGGTCTCTATACAAGGTACAGTCACAGTCAGATCACCTCACTGACTGTCATCATCATGTTGCTATGACAACTGTTTTTAGGCACTTTGAGAGAGGTGATTATGATGAATATGTTACATGATTGATGAAGAATTCTATAAATAAACAATGGCTGATTCTTATGTACATACAGTATATGTTTGCTGCTTAACGCATCACTCAACATACACAAATAACAGGGTGGACGATTCTCAGGCAGCTCATTCAATTTGAAATCTTGAAATCGTCTCTTAAGAGGCAGTTATGGTTCCATCGATGAAATATGTTTTCAGTCAGACACATACTGCCGTCTATTGACATCATTCATGAAAAATAATAACTATTTTTATAACAATGTCATTCTAACCTAACTTTTACATTAATGCCCCTCAAAAGTCCCTGACAAAAAAACCCTGAGCCCACTAAATCTACCATGTTTGTGCATCATGATCTGTATTGATATAAAAGGAATATCATCACCTAGTCTTAGGGACCGGTCATCCATTTGGTCAAGAGGTTTTAATGTACTGAAAATAATGACCCTTCCCTAATGCTTGTCATACTTTTGGATGACCCTCGCCATGTCCTACAAAAATGACCCTCCCCAAAACGACAAAATGCAAAAGAACTTCATACTATATAATAAGATGGCTATTGCTAAATGACCTCATCAAAATATGTGTAATATTTTTTATAACCCTCCCCTTGCGAATATCATATTTGGTGACTCTCCCCTGATACCCTCTGACCATCCATCCCTATAATAAATGACCGGTCCCTACAAGATAGAAAATCATTCAGCAAGTCAGGCTTCACTCTTGAAGCAAAAGTCACAGTCTGTAACTTGGATCAAGTTACACGCTGACAGAATCAAGGTGGTCCAGAGACTGCATTTCCAGAACCTCCTTCTTTGATGAAGAGAGGAATGATGTGACAGTCACCACGCCATTTGATTGACAGACTGGCTTTACCTTTCCAGTACTCATTTTGGATACCTGGAACAGAAGAAGTATATGATAAGTTGACGAGCACGGGGTATTGTCAAGTGTTTGGAAGTGTCCAAATAAATGGGATCTGAGAATTATACTCTTGGCATCTGTTCATCACATTCACACACATCCTATACAGACATAAGAACAGCATTAGAAATTGGCACTAGTCCTGTAGTCCTTACCAAACTGCCCAATAGTGAAGGCATCATATGGACAAGTAGAAATTGGCCCATTTTAAGGGTTTTGCTATATGTTAACATTATAAGGACTAGTGGACAAAACACTGTTAGTTTCTAACCCTGAAGAACATGCTCAAGCCCTCACAGACACTGAAACTGAAGCAAGCACACATTAACTCAAGGTGCTGCAATTCACCATGCAGTGTTGTGTCCCCAGCCCTGCTAGGATCTGCTGATCCGGGTTCAAATCCTCACAGACACTGAACCTGAAGCAAGCACACATTAACTCAAGGTGCTGCAATTCACCATGCAGTGTTGTGTCCCCAGCCCTGCTAGGATCCGCTGATCTGGGTTCGAATCCAACATTCACTAGATTATGATTCTTGGTTTGTCAGCTCCAAGTCCCACTGAGGGATCACCAAAGAGGAAAAGGTCTAAGAACTTCATCAATTTATTGTTTATCTGCCACATGTATTGACGTGTGATATAACTGAAATACTTTCAAAGTGAGGCTAAATCAACTCTCTCAGCTGCATTTATACAAACTCGCAATACACATGCAAGCATGTGAGCGATCCCAACATGAATAATCATTCCATCATTTCATACATTGAACAAGGTTTTGAATAATTACATTTATCTCTTAATCTATATTTCACAGTCATTTGTTATCTGCGATAAAGGGTTTCAATAACATACAGAATGCATGAAATTGCTCTCTCATGCTCACATCTCTTACCGTATTCGACGTGATAAGCGCCCCGCTCTAATAAGCGCCAACAGCGATATTTGCTAATATATTGGCTAGTGAACAATCCCAATTAGCACCCCTTCCGACTGATCGATGTTCACATGACTTATTTATTCGTGTATAATACGCACTTGTGTGTTATATGCACCCTTAATGAAGGGGCAATTAAATTCTGGAAAAATATATCTGTCGTCTATATACATTTTAGGCTGACAGTATAAACCATGAAATTTACGATCTTTGAACTTTTTTTCACCAAAATAATATTCTAATAAGAGCCTCCTATTTCTAATTTTGGGAGCGCCCTGGGCGCTTATTGCGTCAAATACGGTAGTTAAAAATAGGCATCCCCAGAGTGACACATTTCACATCCCACTGACAGAGTCAGATGCAGACCAGTAAAAGGCCTGATTAATTTTCTTTGTTGCCAAATGAAAGACTACAGTACTACATATACACAAAGAAAAAGGTTAAGCACAGGTAAGCTTCTTTCTTGACCTTTGCAACTTCAGCAGACACTGTGAAAATTCTTGTAATTGATAATATATTTAAATCAATATTTCTGTTTTGAAATTGATAATATTGAAAGTATTATTTCTATTGTTCAATTGATGATATTCAAAACAATATTTCTGTTGAATTTAAATGTGTAAACATATTCAACATGTCAAGATACAAAAATCACATTTTGTAGCATCTATGGACCACAAAATTAATTTAAAGAAAAAATAACAATAAATCAGAAAAAAAACCTTCACCTAGCCACAAGAAATCACTTCTACTAGCAGTGTTGATTGTATCATTCCATCTGAGCATGCAAACACCCTGATTTTCACAAAACCCCTTGCTTAATCAAGTATCAGACATGGGAAAATATTTAGCATGTGACCTGTGTTATCAGGACTTGATTGAATCATGTCATCGATCCCAATTGCGTTGATTGATGCTCATGATATCAATCACTTGATTGTCTGGTCCAGACTCGATTATTTACAGACCATCGTCATATAGCTGGAATATTGCTGAGTGCGGCGTAAAACAACAAACCAACAACCCACAATATTGTGTGCAACCTTCATGAATCCCAGCCGTCATCCCTTGTGCAATATGTGCAACGTTGTTGGACCACTTTGTTAGGCGATATAGTGCAGGAATTGAAAGGAAAGATAACTCCTCTTGAATGTACAAAAAGACTTTTGAAATATGGGAAATGTGGGAAAGATAAACGATAATTTTCAGACTATTTTCTTTCTTTTCATTTTCTGCATAAAAATGGATATTCCCAACAAAGAAGATATAAATGAATGACCTATCAACCAGTGTTGACTCTGAAGTCTACAGCTCCAGTAGGCAACCACAGACAGGGCACTGTTTCACAAAGCAATCTGAGAACTACGACTGTTGTACATCTGTTACGATACTCTTAGTGCTATGACCATTGTAAATTTGTGTTACGATACACTCAGCTACGACTATCATAAATCTGTGTTTTACAATGCCCAAGTGCTCCAAGTATTGTAAATTTGTGTTACGATACACTCAGCTACGACTATCATAAATCTGTGTTTTACAATGCCCAAGTGCTCCAAGTATTGTAAATTTGTGTTACGATACACTTAGCTACGACTATCATAAATCTGTGTTTTACAATGCCCAAGTGCTCCAAGTATTGTAAATTTGTGTTACGATACACTTAGCTACGACTATCATAAATCTGTGTTTTACAATGCCCAAGTGCTCCAAGTATTGTAAATTTGTGTTACGATACACTTAGCTACGACTATCATAAATCTGTGTTTTACAATGCCCAAGTGCTCCAAGTATTGTAAATTTGTTTAACGATACTCCTAGTTATGACTATTGTAAATCTGTGTTACGATACTCTTAGCTACGACCAGGTTCGCCCCGATTATGTTTCTAGCTTTGTCAGCACCATACCCGTGCTTGTGGGTTTCAATGAAGTGGTAAACATCCGAGACCTGCATCACTTCGGGCTTTCCTCCACATTAAGCCGACACGCTGCGATATAACTGGAATACTGTTAAAAGGGGCGTTAAACCCAACTCACTCACTCACTCTTAGCTATGACTGTAATAATTTGGTGTGTGGGAACTACTACAATCTGTATGGGAGTTCTGACTGTCTTTGTGCTAAGACTGGTTTGTGGAACACTGCCCTGGTTGATAAGACAGTTGATATTTTTAATCTTATTAAAAATCAGATCGTTTACTCCATTATGATGATCTGAGGACACTCCACAGAAGGCGGAAAGAAAACCCACACAGAACACAAATATACTCTCAATAGTACTCCCAGTATGATGTAATTGGCATAATATAAAAGAGTGCTTTGATACTGTGCAAATGGAACTAAAATATATGTTTGTTTTTGAAAGACTGAATGCTTCACTCACTTATACCAAGAATTTATACCCTATATTGAGGTGTCCCAGACATTCATACAGAGTGGTATCATATTGGAATCAACATATAAAATGCAGTTTTGTATCTACAGGAAACTAGAAACAGAAGGTATGTCCCTGGGACCCGCTATGTACAGACACACACGACTAACATCTAGAGAAGGCGACAGTCGTTACAACAGCACAGGAGAGACTTGCCAATTGAACCATGAGATACTGAGGTACACTGATCATTTGGGGATAATCATCTTAAACCTCTTAAATTTTTTTTTATTATGTTACATGTAATATATTTGAATATGAGATATTCATACAAGAAAACATACAAATTTATGGACAAGTTCTGGTTTATTGCATTTAGTGACATTTCGATATAGATTCTAACACTGTTATCAAGCTGGAGAGGTATTCATAAAAGATTAAACTGATAGATTAGAAATCTCCCCTAATTCAAAAATAAATTGAACTGAATTGAAGTCATTCTTTTGAGAACATGGCTTGGCAAGTCTATGACAGAAGATGAAGACAGAAACAGCAGCAGAGACAAGAACAAATACTGTAAGAGACGAAGGGCAGTAAAAACATCGGGGAGAGGGGGGGATTCATCTGTGAATGGTGAGGCATCAACTGATGGTATCACTCAAACGTTGCTTACAACCTTACTAAGAAACTGTGACACATATCTGTCTTTACAGATACAAATCATACAACGTATTGGCAAAGCTAATAAAATGGTTAATCGATAACAGTCTCAACAGCTCCAAACTAAGGAAAGACTTTTCAAATACTGAATTAATATATAATTATTTCCAAAATAACATATGAATTCAGTTGTTCAGTTGTTTGTGTATTGACAAAGTGTAAGATTATGAATTATGAATTATGAATTAAAAATATGGAAAAAAATATCATTATTTAAAAAATCATGAATAAATACAATAAACAGGCAACAGGAACACAGGAGATTACAGGAAGGATGACACAGATCACACTACAGGACTTCTCAGAAACTCATAGGAGTTGCAAAGATGGAATTCGGAAAATATGAACTTTGATTATTCTAGACACACTTGTCAGTCTACCTTATTGTCACTAAAATGATATTTACCCTTCACTGTGAAAGCTAGGAGTTACCTGGATGAGAAAATATCTTAAGGTGTACCTTTTTATATTTACAAGGAAGACATAAACATAGGTCAAGTTATATTACCGGTAGTGTACTAACATATCCAGGCTAAGAATACTGAACAAGCTGGTCTGCACCTGAGACCAACACAAATCTTGCACCTATTCTCTATGGGTGAGCTATTCTCTATGGGTGAGCTATTCTCTATGTCTAGGCTATTCTCTATGCTATATATCATAGACATGCAGTGAAAGGAAGTAGAGAAGTGCCAGACACAGCCACCAACTGTACCTCCAGACTCAGTCTAAAGAAGGCCTTGTCTCTGCTGATCAGGCATGGGCTGCCAAATAACTTATCTCCCAATTTCACACAGGTGTCTATCATGTAAAAATTACTGACTGCAGTGTCCCAGGGGCTCTAATTACCATAGTGTCTCATCTCTGAATATTTGGTTCATTCCCAATGGAGTAGGCAACACATACGCACGCACGCACGCACGCACGGACGCACGCACGCACGCGTATTCGACAGGTTAGTGCTAGTGCAAGTCACACACACACACACACGCACACATTTGTATTCGACAGGCTTGTGCGAGTGCAAGTCACACACACACACACGCACGCACGCACGCACTCGCGCGCACGCACGCACACGCACGCACGCACACGCACACGCACACGCACACGCACACACACATGCTTGTATTCGTATCTCTACACAGATATGTGTGCAAGTCTCTACACAGATATGTGTAGGAACTCAAGGACTTAATCAGTGAGGGTCCCTTATGTTATGGATAGGGATTTTAGGGGTGCTTCGATTAATCCACGGAGACGCCAGGACACAAGGCCCCTATTAATTCCCTACAATGCTGATGGAGAGAAGGCCTGTTCAAGAGTAGTCAGTGGGCCAGCAGTGAGTCTGTGTCTGGCAGGTGAGAATAGGAGGACACAAGCTGACACAAAGGAAACAGTTCACCAGGAGAGAGATAACGTTTACCTAGTCCTCTATAAGATTTGTTTGAGATATTGTCAATTTGCCAGAGCGCTTTGTAAAAGAAATGGACATTTTGTCACTCTCTTCTTCCTCCTCCTATAGTGCAGATGGCAGCAGGGAAAGGAAAACATTTGATATTAAAATAAATATTTATTTTAAAAACAATAAATAGAGGCGATAAGATCTAGTAACTGATTGTCTTCAGAAATTCAGATCAACCTAACACACAGTCCAGGCGTGTCTTCTCAATGAGACATATAATTAATATACTTCTCAACTCAAACTTTATGTCAACTTTTAATATCTGTAGAAAATGTTCCATAATTTCGATAAAATGTGTTATCTTGGCTTGGAATCTGAAAGGAACATTATCAAATATTTCAGCCACAAATAAACGTTTCACTGATGAATGACTTACTTCCAGCTTTATTTCTACAAAACATTCTGATAAAACTGAGTGACATTACTTCTAATCACTTTGTTAGAGTTTCACAGAAATTAATTTCTTTTAATTTCAGATCAAGGTGTTGAATGTAACATGTTTTAATCTGCTATCTATCAGGTGAATATAACATGTTATACATCTGCTATATATCAGGTAAATATAACATGTTATACATATGCTATATATCAGGTGAATATAACATGTTATACATCTGCTATATATCAGCTGAATATAACATGTCATACATCTGCTATATATCAGCTGATTGACATGTTATACATCTATATATCAGCTGAATATAACATGTTATATCTATCATTCAACAGCTGAATATGTGTACTATATATAAGATGAATATTAGAGCTGGGACAGGTAACTTGGGTACTCGGATCGGGTGGGTCCTGAGAAGGACCCAGGTACCATCAGACTACCGGACCCATGGTTAGTCACGTCATACATTGTTTAATAATGATAAAACAGTTTTACAGTAGGCGCTAATGTTCACATTTTTTTCTGACTATACTCTCATTTCTTCTGACTTTTATATGTTTGAGTAAAGATAAAACTTCTGTGTATGCATGACCAGATCGTATTATACATGAATCTAAACACATTCTGCCAATGCTCCAGAGAAACAATTCCCCAAAAGACATCTTACCCCCAACTTGAGACCTACAGCAGGTACCGGGCAGGGTTGGGTAATAGGGGGTCATATACCCAGGTAGTAAATTAAGACTCGTCCCAGCCCTAATGAATATTACATGTTATATAATTTCCTATAAACAGTAGTAGTGGCACGATACACCAATGCGTCGATGGATCACGATTTCTTACGTCTCGATACAAGTATCGATCACAGTCACACAGGAAGTGTTTGCTTTAATAACTGTTTCCCTAAAAACTAATTAGCAGTGAAGATTAGCAGTGAAAACACAGAATTTTCATCCATTGTGCCATACTTGGCACTGCCAACTGTAAATCATCAGTGTGCCAGGTATATGGTCAACCTGTCGATGACAAAATGGCTTAGGGACTACAGATAAGAGCACATGCAAGTATCACGATACATATCGGATTGTGAGCAAAGTACCATGATATGTATCTGATCGTACAGTTGGTGTATCGTGCCAGCCCTAATAAATAGATTCCAACATTGTAAACATCAATGTCTACCCGTGAGAGGATCGGCACATACCGTCATTTCCGCCGGCTGCACTTTCATTGTGTCGTGCCACACCCTGAGACAGATGTCGGGCAGGAGGGCCGTCACACACAGCAGTAGGATGGCCAGCCACGCCGTGCCACACGACAACAGCGTCGTGAACACCTGGAGCAGGTACGGGTGGTCCATGGCCCACGATCTGCAACACAGACAGGTCAGATTTTTCTAAACCTAGGTTTACGAACCCAACTCCCCCAAATTGAAATGTGAAAAAATGAAAGTGAAAAGCAATATTTGTTTTATTCAACAGACTAGAAATTTGTAAAATGTAAAAAACACATTTAGTGTCACTATCAATTTACATAATTTATTTAAATTACTATAATTACCATATTCGACGTAATAAGCGCCCCACTCTAATAAGCGCCCTCGGCGATATTTGTTAATATATTGGCTAGTGATATCCAAATTACCACCCCTACCGATTGACTTATTTATTTGTGAATAACATGTGTGTTATATGCATCCTTAATTATGGGAAAAACATAGCTGTCATATGTAAACATTTCAGGCTGTCAGCATAATCCACGAAATTTTCGATCTTTCAACTGTGTTGTTTCATCAAAATAATACTCTTATAAGAGCCCCCTGTTTCTAATTTTGAAAGTGCCCTGGGCGCTTATTATGTCGAATACGGTAAAACCTATTGACAAATTGTCTCAAAAATGCTTCATTACTATTTGTTTGTCTTCATTCTAGATCTGGGGCAGTGGAGTAGCTTAGTAGTTGAGTTTTTCACTCATCACGCATGCCAAAGGCTCAAGTTTGATTACACGGGTTCAAGATGTGAAGCCCATTTCTGACTGACAGCAATCTGTTCTGGGGACATGAAATGTCCCAATTACATCCTACCCGACCCCTGAAGATCCAGGTAGGAATTGATTTTCAGCAGCCCATCCTTGGCGTAAAAGTTGACTATGCTTGTCATGAGAGGCGACTAATGGGATCGGGTGGTCAGGCTCGCTGAGTTAGTTGATGCATGTCATCGTATCCTAACACCAAAGCTACATTTCAGTCGGTAACAGCAAACTCCACCAACACTCATTACGACGGAATACTTACGGCCAAAACACGAAGTTGTAGACGATGATTACGAGGAAGAATCCAGCGAAGGTGACTCCGAAAGACAGCAAGATGGGTACTGACCAGCAGTACGTCTCCAGGCCCAGCTGAAGTAGACATCCACAGTCTCACATCACTGAACACGACTTAGCAGCCAACTGCCACTTGCCTATTGTATTGTAGATATCTTCTATCTCATTGTAACCTTGTGTGAGGTGAGGTGAGTTGAGGTGAGGTGAGGTGAAATGGGGTTTAACGTCGCGTCCAAGATTATTGCACTTATATAGCGACGTGCATGCACGTGTGTGTGTTTGTGTTGCTGCTTGTACTAGTCCGAACTGATGCCTATTTATAGTGCTACCTCACTGAGATACCATGACGCAGTTTAACATGAATACCTCACTCAGACATAGTATACTGACTCCGAGCCGACCAGTCCTTGTTTTAGCCCCTTAATGCCGAGCCAGACAGGGTAACAACAAGTACCATCTTTTAACGTCTTTAGGTATGACATGGCCGGGGGTCGAACCCACGACCTTTCGCTCTCCGGGCGGACGCTCTACCACTGGACCACGGAGGCGGTCAACTTTGTAAGAGGTACTACATCGTGTGAGACCTGGTCAGAGATTTTACATTTGAATTGTAGGGCCTAGGCTTTACAACAGAAGTCTTATAAACCTGCTTTGAGGTTTTACATTGGGATAGTAAGACCTAGGTTTTACAATTGAAGTTATATGAACTGGCCTTTTGAACTGGCCTTTTGATATGAATATAAAGTTGGTTTTTGATTGGTTAAAAGTTCAAACTTTTTTTCATGTGAAAATTCTATGACATGAATCCAACCTGCAACCTCACATTTTAACTTTTGTACCCCACTGTCTTCCCACTGAGTTTAATCTTAGATGTCATGACTTCAGTTGTGTGCATGCTGCATATGGTCTTTCTCTGGTACGCTTTGATCGAATTCCTTTTTTTACAGCAGCACACTTTTGTTTCACTATAACATATCCTGATGTTTTCTTATTTTGTTTCTGGTATTTTGAGCATTTAGACAATTGATAACTTGGATGAAGCCCTCCCTGGTTTTGGTTAAAAATGTAAAATATCATTGTATGATAAAGGGATTATTACCCTTGTGTGTTTCCCCATCATAATTATCAAGTATTATGAATAAAACGTGTATTATGCTCATCAAGGACTTGCATATTGAGTGATTGAGTGAGTGAGTATGGGTTTTAACACTGCTTTGAACAGTATTCAAGTTATATCACAGCGTGTCAGCTTAATGTGGGATGAGAGCCCGAAGTGATGCAGGTCTCAGACGTTTACCACTTTGGTGAAACCCACAAGCACGCGTATAATACAATTATTATAATTCCTGTGCTGATATTTACAGTACAGAAAGATACTCTGCTATTACTGAATGTTTATTACCTTGATATTGACAACAAATACGCAGCACAGCACCAAGACCGTCCCGTAGCTCCATATACCCATACTCTGAAATGAGAAATACAACATGAACTAGTGGTAGTACCTCCCATGTAAAACAAGCATGAAATATTCATATCCCCCGCCAATATGACATGTCCGGTTGTGTGCAAGGCAAGAAATATTGTACGGTTTCAAGAACTGATCCAGAAACAAGCACTACCGCCATTTTTAGTCAAAGTCAAAGCCATGGAAACATGAAAAATAAATTCTTAAAAAATCCAAAACTATCAAAAGGCACCAGTTCACCACTAGACCTATCTATGTGCCATGTTTGGTTAAGATATCTCTTGCATAAACATCATGATATATAGATAGTACACTATACACTTACTAGGCACCAGATGAAGGAGCAAGAAGTAGCTCTGAAACGTTGCACAAAGAATAAAAGAAGTTGCTATCCATAAAAAGTGTCATGTATTTATGTTTTCCCAACTTCTAAATGCCTATCAAAGGCTTCATATCTCTCGTGTTTATTGAGTTTTGCTCCAGAAACAGATGTGACGGACGGACAGCACCCATTCCTATATCCCCCTTCCATTTCGCGGAGGCATAACGGCAAGACACGGCGTGAAACACATCATGAATACCTGTGTGCTGACACCTACCTTTCCTGAAGGCCACAGCGAGACATCGTTGTTGAACAGAAGATAGGTACCGAAGAAGAGTACAACACTATGCCAGAGGCCTGCAATGAGAAAAAATAATATGCTGCCATTCTCCTTGTATGACTGTTTTTGAATATTTATCGACCTACTTAAATGTTTTGAATTTTTTAAATATTTTTTTACATTTATAGATGAAGAAAACTGTTCATTTTAACTAAATCACCCAGTCTGACCACCCAATTCACAAAGTGGCCCCTTATAACAACCTATTCTAACCCAGAATCACAATGGGTTCCCAAGTCGCCACTTACGACTAGCAATGGGCCGGGGTGCTGGCAACACGTTCTACCCTGAATCCCAATATTGCAATGTTGTTACCCTGTCTGCCGCTCGGCATTAAGGGACTAAAACAAGGACTGGTCGGCTCGGAGTCAGTATACTGTGTCTGAGTGGGGTATTCATGTTAAACTGCGGCATGGTATCTCAGTGAGCTAGCACTATAAATCGGCATAAGTCCAGACTAGTACAAGCAACCACACACACACGTACATGCACGTCGCTATATAAGTGCAATTATCTTGGACCAACGTTAAACCCCTTTTCACCTCGCCTCACCAATATTGCAATGCTTGTTCCAGGATGGTTAAGTGCATATATGTGATACTTACCTAAACAATTCCACAACAGAAAGCGTTTCCAAGACAACTTTCTATTTCTTGTAATTCTTCTGCAAAACAAATCAAATAAATATAATCATTATAACCTCTCTCAATTTATTTGTGACTCACAAATAGATGTGAAGCTGGTTTAAAAAAATGTAAACTATTCAAAATCTCCCTCAAATGTTAATAAATGTCATGTGTATTGTTTTTTGTCAGATTAATTCCTCATCAATGTGACTATTTTCCTCAATCTCATTAAAATCAGATCTTAGCACTCGCTACCAGTAATCGAAGATCTGAGGACATCCCACTACAAGTCACATTAGAACAGCCTCAAGCAAACTTTGACCAACCAATGACATGATTAACCAGAAGTCAACATTAGCCAATCAGAAAGCAGCTTTCTCAAGCTTTACAGCACGTGTTAGTTTCAACCTGGCAACTTCCATTTTAGACTATGATTTGAAAAGTGAGAGTGAGTATGGTTTTACGCCGCTTTTAGCAATATTCCAGGAATATCATGGCAGGGGACACTAGAGAGAGATGGACTTCACACATTGTACCCATGTCGGGAATCGAACCCGGTCTTCGGCGTGAGGAGCGAACGCTTTAACCACTAGGCTACCCGACCGCCCACAATTTGAAAATATTTTGATAAAGTTCCTGATTTAAATTAGGAGACCGAACAAAAGAAAACTATGGATTGTCTAATAGATAGCCGAGATCATATAGCAGTCCTTCCCACTCTATGGAAAGTCTCTTCTATTTGAAATGTTTATCACATTGAAGGAAGACAGATGATTGTAACAGAATCAGTCCCTACCTGTCTACGGGTATACCCAGTTAAAAGTCTGAGGCTGCTTGATTAGAAAACACATTCCAACTTTCACTTTCAACACTCTGAATGGTTGTTCTGACATGACCCATGATGGGATGTTCTCTGATCTTTGTAGAGAAGTCTAAGATCTGATTTTAATGACATTGACTATTTTCTGAACTGATAAGTGGTTGGTTGGTTGGTTTGTTGTTTAACACCGCACTCAGCAATATTCCAGCTATATGACGGCGGTCTGTAAATAATCGAGTCTGGACCAGACAATCCAGTGATTAATATCATGACCATCGATCCACGCAATTGGGATATGATGACATGCATCAACCAAGTCAGCGAGCCTGACCACCCGATCCCGTTTGTCGCCTTTTACGACAAGCATAGTCACCTTTTACGGCAAGCATGGGTTGCTGAAGACCTATTCTACCCCGGAATCTTCACGGGTCGAACTGATAAGTGAGTGAGGGAGTTGGGTTTTACTCTGCTGTTACTGTTAGCAATATTCCAGCAATGACAACAGAGGACATCAAGAAGTTCTTCAAGCTGGTACCTATGAGGGAATCAAACCCAGGCATTCAGGTGTTCTCATTTTCACCACTGGGCCACCACACTGCCCTGAGATTGGTACACAGTTTCTGCTAAGGTAGTGACTGGAGGCTACCTCACCACTGGGCCATCACACTGCCCCGAGATTGGTACACAATTTCTGCTAAGGTAGTGACTGGAGGCTACCTCACCACTGGGCCATCACACTGCCCCGAGATTGGTACACAATTTCTGCTAAGGTAGTGACTGGAGGCTACCTCACCACTGGGCCATCACACTGCCCCGAGATTGGTACACAGTTTCTGCTAAGGTAGTGACTGGAGGCTAACTCACCTGTACAGCTCTGGCCTATTGAGCAATGTGTCTTGGGAGAGGTGCTTCTCGAACAGGCCGTATATGAGAATAGGTAGAGATGTGAAGGTGATGTTATACAACAGGAGGTACAGGGCCTCGTACACCGGCTGAAACAAACGGGGCAATGTGTTTATCATTTCTATCAGAGCTTTCAGTAGGAGGTACAGGGCCTCATACACCGGCTGAAACAAACGGTGTAATGTGTTTATCATATCTAACAGAGCTTTCAGTAGGAGGTACAAGGCCTCGTACACCGGCTGAAACAAACAGGGTAATGTGTTTATCATATCTATCAGAGCTTTCAGTAGAAGGTACAGGGCCTCGTACACCGGCTGAAACAAACAGGGCAATGTGTTTATCATATCTATCAGAGCTTTCAGTAGGAGGTACAGGGCCTCATACACCGGCTGAAACAAACAGGGCAATGTGTTTATCATATCTATCAGAGCTTTCAGTAGGAGGTACAAGGCCTCATACACCGGCTGAAACAAACAGGGCAATGTGTTTATCATATCTATCAGAGCTTTCAGTAGGAGGTACAAGGCCTCATACACCGGCTGAAACAAACAGGGCAATGTGTTTATCATATCTATCAGAGCTTTCAGTAGGAGGTACAAGGCCTCGTACACCGGCTGAAACAAACAGGGCAATGTGTTTATCATATCTATCAGAGCTTTCAGTAGGAGGTACAAGGCCTCATACACCGGCTGAAACAAACAGGGTAATGTGTTTATCATATCTATCAGAGCTTTCAGTAGGAGGTACAAGGCCTCATACACCGGCTGAAACAAACAGGGTAATGTGTTTATCATATCTATCAGAGCTTTCAGTAGGAGGTACAAGGCCTCATACACCGGCTGAAACAAACAGGGTAATGTGTTTATCATATCTATCAGAGCTTTCAGTAGGAGGTACAAGGCCTCGTACACCGGCTGAAACAAACGGTGTAATGTGTTTATCATATCTAACAGAGCTTTCAGTAGGAGGTACAAGGCCTCGTACACCGGCTGAAACAAACGGTGTACCGTATATGACCGCGGATTAGCCGACCCCGTAGATAAGCCGAGGTGTTCACTTGACCATTGAAATACGAAAGAAAAAGGTATGACCCGCAGATAAGCCGAACCAGGAATTGAAAGGCAAAAAACACTGCGAAGTCGGACTGCAAGACATGTGCCGGTACTCGCAGATATTCAAAAATGTAAGATGAAAAATGTTGTAATTATATTGAAAAAGTCATTATTATTTCTAATAAAGATTTAACAAACCAGTCATCCACTTTCATAATGTGGGAAGCTGTTTCTCGTGGGTTTTTTTAATCTCATAATGATCGTTATATGTTGCCATCAACAACGAAGCGCCATTTTGTGAATCGGTGTATATAGAATTATGAACCCGTGAGAAAATATATCTGCTAGAGCGAAGACTCGCAGTTTGAATTCAGCATCGTAAGCATGGCGTTTTCGTTTCAAACTCATGATGAGAATGTCAGTCAGTAAAAATATACCAACTTTAATAACCCCCTTTACACCACTATTGTATGTTAATCCAATTGAATTAAATAAACTATCATACAATGAACACATTGAATGACCATCACTTACTCACAGGCTTCTCCAGTTTATTAAACTAATCTCTCGAAAACAAAGGAATTAAGCCCCTACTCCCAACACGATCGCTAAGCACCCACAACTTGAAAATGTTTGTGTAAACAACATGACAATACCAATCGGCCCGTTATTATCAATGCTCATTTCCTTGTGTACCGTGTTGCTTTAAACAACAGGAAGCAATCACAGTGGTCACCGTTTGTGACGTCACAGGAAACAGCTGATCACGTTTTTGCAAATGGCGAACGGAATAACTCGCCGATACAGTTGTTTATTTGCCTCTTTCAATAAAGGTAGACACTTGTTCACTATCAATTTATGAACTTTGCAAAACGTACGTAATAGCTATTGGCGATTTCATCTGGGGATTATATATTATAGCTGTGAATTACATATATTGTTTCATGTAAAGATCGCAGAGTTTACGAAGAACGATAAACTTTGAACATTCAATTGAAAACTTATTATCGGAAGTAGTAACATGCATAACATTTTTTTAATAATGACAACATTGGTGTATAATAATAACTTTATTGATAAGTTATAACAATAATGGCTCTAGTCGTGGCAACTTCCAAACTTTCGGGAAGTTGTGATCTAACGGACCGTCATTCAGGCGATGTTTTTGACAGATCACGATCTGAAAAATACTATCATGAAAGTGTATCCCGTGGATAAGCCGACCCCTTTCTACAGAATATTTTTTCTGGTCCTCAAAATTCGGCTTATACGCGGTCATATACGGTAATGTGTTTATCATATCTATCAGAGCTTTCAGTAGAAGGTACAGGGCCTCGTACACCGGTTGAAACAAACGGTGTAATGTGTTTATCATATCTATCAGAACTTTCAGTAGGAGGTACAAGGCCCCGTACACCGGCTGAAACAAACGGGGCAATGTGTTTATCATATCTATCAGAGCTTTCAGTAGGAGGTACAGGGCCTCGTACACCAGCTGAAACAAACGGGGCAATGTGTTTATCATATCTATCAGTGTTATACACACAGAGAAAAGCGTTAGAAACTGGCAGTAGTCCTATAGTCCTTGCCAAATTGCCCAATAGTTAAAGTGGCTTAAGGACGAGTAGAAATTTTGAAGGGTTTTGCTACATGTTATCATTATATGGACGAGTGCGCTAAAACTGTTAGTTTCTACTGCTCCAGATTATGGTAGTCAACAGGTCCTGTCTTATGACTCTGCCATTAAAAGTTAAAGATCTCGGGGATTCCTAGATTAAAATACATTAGGAGATGACTTCAATGATCCTGGATGTTCAACACTATACACAGGAGGAGTGGGTCATTATTCCTTGCACTAAATACAGACAAGGGGAAGCCCTGATGGTAACAGACAAGATGACTTCGTTCGAAAAATATACTTATATGAATATCGCCGATGTCTTGTTCAACAACGAAGATATATTAGGTACTTTATTTGCCAGTGAACAGGGACTGGCAGTCAGCCCAAGCCAAATTATACTGGTAAAAAACAGGTAATTACTGGTAAACAGAGACAATTGATCTCCGCAGTGTTGTATGCCGTCTTACCTGCTCTGAGAAGGCCGAGTAGAATGTATAATACAGCTGGCATGTGATGAAGGCTACATTCTGAAACAGAACACACAGAGAGTTACACCTGCAAACACTTCATTAAGGCATGAAGCTCACCTTGTCTAGGATTTACATTTACACCTGGAAACACTTCATTCAGGCATGAAGCTCACCTTATCCAGGATTTACATTTACACCTGGAAACACTTCATTAAGGCATGAAGCTCACCTTGTCTAGGATTTACATTTACACCTGGAAACACTTCATTCAGGCATGAAGCTCACCTTATCCAGGATTTACATTTACACCTGGAAACACTTCATTCAGGCATGAAGCTCACCTTATCCAGGATTTACATTTACACCTGGAAACACTTCATTAAGGCATGAAGCTCACCTTGTCTAGGATTTACATTTACACCTGGAAACACTTCATTCAGGCATGAAGCTCACCTTATCCAGGATTTACATTTACACCTGGAAACACTTCATTAAGGCATGAAGCTCACCTTATCCAGGATTTACAATTACACCTGGAAACACTTCATTAAGGCATGAAGCTCACCTTATAGAGGACTTACAATTACACCTGGAAACACTTTATTAAGGCATGAAGCTCACCTCGTCAAGCTGGTAAGTCAACAATGTGAACAATCTTGGGGACAACTTACTTTATAAAAGAAGTACTGTACAAGGGTGGCGATACGAATGTAGAAGTAATGACCGTGAAGAAGGAATGCTCGCATCAGGAACTTGAATTTGGCAAAGGCATAGTCAGAACTCCGCACAGCTTGTCTCCCTTCCTTTCCCATGATTCCTGGAACAGGAAGTGTTCACAATTAAACACCTATTATAACACAGCTGCTAACCAGTGTATATCCCCATCAACTGCTGGTTTATGCCCATGAATAGCTTGTACTCACCAATGCCAACATCAGCTTCTTGAATCATGCTGACATCATTGGCTCCGTCACCGATAGCTGCTGTCACAGGCTTGGTTGGGGAGAGCTTGATCATGCGCACAACCTGACACAACAAAATATGTTCTTCATTTAACAATGCTTGATTCTGACAGGTTAAAATAAGGGGTTAAGTATCCATTTGATACCTCTAAATTACACAAAACATGCCATGAATACAACGACAACCAAAATATCAATCCATAACACATGGCTGCTGATAACCCATTAGAACTTGATACTTCAATATTGGAACATTATTGGATGTTTTTGGTTACCATTTTGACGTCCTCGACCTAAGTCCTGACAGGTTTGATCATAACATAACAATACTTAATGAAGCAGGGTTAGAAAATGGAACTAGTCCTATAGTCCTTGCCAAACTGCCTAATAGTTAAGGTATCATAAGGACGAGTAGAAGTTTGCTATTTCTAACGGTTTTGCTATATGTTATCACTATGAGGTGATGAGGTGAAATTAGGTTTAACGTCGCGTCCAAGATTATTGCACTTATATAGCGATGTGCATGCACGTGTGTGTGTATGTGGCTGCTTGTACTAGTCCAGACTGATCCCGATTTAAAGTGCTATAAACTGAGATACCATGCTGCAGTTTAACATGAATACCCCACTCAGACACAGTATACTGACTCCGAGCCGACCAGTCCTTGTTTTAGCCCCTTAATGCCGAGCGCCAGACAGGGTAACAACAAGTACCATCTTTTAAAGTCTTTTTGTATGACGCGACCGGGGATCGAACCCCGGACCTTCCGCTCTTCGGGCGGACGCTCTACCACTAGACCACTGATGCAGTCGTTATCACTATAAGGACTAGTGGACTAAACATTTCAGTTTCTACTGTGTGAAGGCAATGATAACATTTAGAAAACTCTGTGGGACAGTCTGTGTGAGTCACCTGTGCCTTCTGTATGGGAGACATCCGACAGCACAGTACGGCCACACAGTGCAGACTCAGCTCCATCAGGATCTCCTCGTGCTCTGCCATCATCACGGACAGACTCTGCCCGTCGATGATCAGTGCGTACTGCTGCTCCGGGAATCTCTCTATCCTGTAACACAGCAAAAATGTCAGTGAACATGTCGTAAGAAGCAACTAACAGGATCGGGTGGTCAGGCTTGCTGATCTGGTTGTCATCGTATCCCAGTTGTGTAGATCGCTGCTCGTGATGTCAATCACTGGACTGTCTGGTCCAGATTCGATTATTTACAGAAAGCCGTCACGTAGCTGGAATATTGCTGAGTGCAGCGTTCGACAACAAACAAATAAACATGCCCCCTACCCTTGAAAACCAAATGTTGTATGTTGTAGGCAGTAAAATTATCTGAGAGAGGATTTTGATATTTTGGCACCTCCCTTTCTAAAAATGTTGGATCGGCCTCAGTTCAAAGTTCCCATTCAGAGATTGGGTAGAACTGAGTAATTGGGGATAATTTTACTTTTCATTATGGTGAGTTAGAAAAAGCCAAGATATAACACACGAACCATAAAATGTATAATATTTGTCATTTAGCGCCGCACTCCAATATTCAAGCACTATGACAGTGGTCTATAAATAATAGAGTCCACGAGCATGTGTTGCTGAAGACATATCTTAACCTGGATCTTCACAGTAGTATGAGAATACTGATATATGGGACGAATGGAACCATGTCTCACACCGACGGTTTATGAATTATCTCCCTTGACCAGTGACAGTGAAAATTTGTTTTCGCAAACAGCATTACAGCAAGTCATCTTGGAACACCAAGAATCAGTCGGACAGTTCATGAATCTGGGAGTTATCTCCCTTTTGCCACGCAAAAGTTAGCTGAAGCATGCTGGAATGATACCAAAAAGCACTTCCAACAGCAATGAAAAGTCGAGCAGGTTTTCCATGCAGTAATATACCCCAATACCAAAATAGGGATCGGGTGGTCAGGCTCGCTGACTTGGCTGATGCATGTCATCGATCCCAATTGCGTGGATCGATGCTCATGATGTCAATCACTGGATTGTCTGGTCCAGACTTGATTATTTACAGACCGCCATCATATAGCTGTAATATTGCTGAGTGCGGCGTTAAACAACAAACCAACCAACCAATACCAACATATGAATGAACTCCCTGTAATCAATTAGTGACCTCTCATTGGACAACAGCCTGCAGCAATGCATTTATATCACATCTGACTCTCAGTTCTTAATAGTGTCACAGTCAGAATTAATACTGCTATGTTGTTTGTTTGTTTGTTTGTTTTATGCCGCACTCATCATTATTCCAGCTACATGACGTCAATAATCTGTCAATAATCAAATCTGGACCAGACAATTCAGGGATTGACATCATGAGTATCAATCTACGCAGTTGGGATACGATGACGTGCATCAACCAAGTTAGCGAACCTGACTACCCAATCACATTAGTCGCCTCTTACGACAACCATAGTCGCCTCTTACAGCAAGCATTGGTTGCTGAAGACCTATTCTACCCCGGATCTCCACAGGTCTACTGCTATGTGATAGCATGGCATTATAATTGACTCTGGATGACATTTCAGCTGTGGAGGTCAAATAACTCACCGCCAAAGGAATACCATACATGTTGGTTAATATATGAAGACTTACACATATTCAAAAGATGCACAAACGAACATACTGGTGTGTTGTTTAAACTGATGCTCAAGAATGCATCACATGTGACATCATAGATCCATGACTCGAGAAGCACCATTTGTCTCGTGCAGGATTAGCGTGTAAAGTTTGGAAATCATGTGCAGCATATCATGATAAGAATAAAGACACTGTGGTAACACTGACTGATTATTAGTTTTGTCATTGGACACATCTCTTCTTAATGTACATACTTCTCTATACATTTCTATGGTACATGTTTCTTTTGGTGATGAGTATATAAGTAGACATAGGGGTCAGAGATGACAGAGACTTACTGTCTCCGGTAATGTTGTATCTTGTCCCTGCAGTCGTCACTCTTCATCATCTTGGTGAGCTCCAGCTCGTTCATCTGAGCCTGGAAGTGACCCGCAGAGTGGCTGATGTTGACAGCTGTTTCCTGCTTGTCCCCCGTCAATACCCACACCTGTGTAACCATGGTAACACGAGAACTATTAGTCATCTACAACACCACAAGAACTATTAGTCATCTACAACACCACGAGAACTATTAGTCATCTACAACACCCACACATGTGTAATGCAATATGATCAGTCTGTGACTAAACTATTTAGCCTGATCTTGTCTCACAACATATTTTTTAACATCATTAACATCAGGCGGTAACAAAAGATTAATTATTCACTGAAAAAATATTCACTGGACAAAGGTTTTGGGCCAGTTCTATTTTTATTTTTACGATGATTTTGACAAACAAAAACATGTACTATGGAATTATACCAGCCTAAACTTGTCTCCCATCATCATTTTTAACATCATTTCTTAGTGTTAACAAAAAGTCTATCATTGAATGAGCATACTGAACTGAAATAATTCCTTACTAGTCTAGGGAATAGACCGGTGGCAACAGAGGATTTTATTACCCAGTTCTACTTAAACTTTGACTATGACCACGATTTTGAAACACAGCAATCTCATTAAAATCAGATCTTAGTTCTCGCTATCGCTAAACAAAGATCTGAGGACATCCCATCACGGGTCATGTCAGAACGACCTTTCATCCGACCAATCGCTTACCAGATCATGAAAGTGACAGTCGGTATGTGTTTTCTAATCATGCAACCTCGAAAATAATTTTCCAGTTTACTGGACAATGGGTTGGACCAGTGGTAAACATGAGAACTTTTTTACAGTTCTCATTTCATTGGGAATGACCCTGATTTTGATTTTTTGAAAAAAACATGTTAAAAGGCGTTTGGGAGGTTACCATGGTTACCTTAATGCCTGCCCTGCGGAGAGACTGGATGGTCCGGGGGACGTCCTCCTGAAGCTTGTCCTCCACCGCCGTGGCACCAAGCAGCTGGAAGTCCTGCTCGATCATATCGTACACCACGGCCAGCTGGAGGTACAAACAGAGCACTTCTAGTGAGTAAGGTTTTTGTGCCGCTTTTAGCAATATTCCAGCAATATCATGTCGGGGGACACCTGGAATGGGCTTCACACATGCTACCCATGTAGGTGTAGCAGGGCGTGGAGTCATCCTAAGATGACTTCCTTACCTTGTCAGTTAACCTCTTTGGTCATCGGACCTCGGATCAGAAGGTCCTTGGTTCCGAATCCCATCAAGGGACTCAGAAATTTTATGGCTGCTCCACAGGGAATCGAACCCAGGCCTTCTGTGTGACAAACAGCGCCCCTCAGAGCACTTATAGAGGGGGGCTCAGGACTAGGAGATAGGCCTACACAATTTATACTCATTCTTCTCATGCATTTGTTTGTTGTTTAACACAGCACTCAGCAATATTCCAGCCATGTGATGGCATGCTGTAATAACCAAAGTGGGACCAGACAATCCCGTGATCCATATAACGATTAAGGGTATATGACACACACCTACAAACCAAGTCACCGAGTCAGACCACCCAATCAACTTATTAATACGACGAACACAGTTGCTGGGGATGAATTCTGAAACAAGATGCCCACACTGCCTAGAGCTTTGGGCGACCCTAAGACTTCTCTTCCATCCACTCTGAGCCTAGTCAATTATTACAAATTCTAACTCACTTTCTCTTCTCTGTTTTGAAGAGCTGTTTTAGCTTCATGGAGTTTCTCTTCAAAGACTTTGTATTCCTCCTTAGAAAGGTCTCGCTTAACCACTGCCAGGGTTCGCAAACCAAGCTGAAAAAATAATTTTAAATAGATTTCCTTTTCATCAGATCATGACCTGGTCTTCATTTATACACGTCTTGGACATAACAGCCAGACAATAATAGATGATGACATATCGGCAGACAAAGTTCGTTCAACAGCAAATAAAATGGAAATCAATGTCATTAGCCACTATTCTGAGGCCTGAGTACTGTGTACTTTACAACTGGCTTTCGAAAGAGAGTATAGTGAGTGAGTGAGTTGAGTTTAAGGCCGCTTTTAACAGTATTCCCCGATTATGATTCTAGGTTTGTCAGCACCATACACCGAAGTGGTAAACGTCTGAGACCTGCATCACCTTGGGCTTTCCTCCCACATTAAGCTGACACGCGGTGATATAACTGGAATACTGTTAAAAAGTGGCGCTAAACCCAACTCACTCACTCACTTATTCGTGAATACAACCCCCGACTGGCATTGTTGCAGAGGCTGCTTCCAGAATTGATGGATGATGGACTTTCCTTTTACTTTTCTGATCAATCCATTATGATGAACTACAAGAAACAGCCCATCATGTTTGCAACAACACGTAATCAGCTTACCACGGCGTATTCATTCACATGCTTCTGAGCAACATCCTTCTCGCCAGTCTTCACCCGATCCAAAATGGCCGACTCCGCACCCTTGCACAGTAATACTATTTCATCTGCAAATACAGTCGGGAAAATGACAATGCATGTGAAACTCAGAGATGGAAAATAACAGTTTTAGTCCACTAGTCCTCATAATGATAACATATATAGCAAAACCCTTAAAATTGGCCAATTTCTACTAGTCCTTAGGATACCTTACTATTGGGCAGTTGGGCAAGGACTTTAGGACTAGTGCCAATTTCTAAACCTTGAAACTCCAAATATTATTTTGGTGAGAAAAACAGAGTTGAAGATCATAAATTTTGTGGTTTATGCTGACATCCTGAAATGTTTATATACAATAGATATAATTTTCCAGAATTTAATTGCCCATAATTAAGGGTGTATATAACACACGAGTGAGTATTATACACAAATAAATAAGACCTCTGTACATTGATCAATTGGAAGGGGTGCTAATTTGGATTGTTCACTAGCCAATATAATAGCAAATATCGCCAAGGGCGCTTATTACGTCGAATACGGTAATACAATTTCCGCCAAGTACGTCCCGATATAAAGTTATCAGGAGTTTAAGTTGTTGTCACACAACCTCCAATGCTTTTACAAATATGTAAATCTTAAATAAAACATCAGACAGTTACAGTTAATAATATAATTTCAGCCAAATGCATCCCTATACAAAGTTGTCAGGAGTTATGCACTACCTTGTTCACTCTGCACGATGACACTCATTCTCTTGCGGGTTGGATCGAAATCTAAAACGTGTAAAACCCGGTAACGCCTCATTTCTTTGTTTAACGTGATTTCCATGCAATCGTCATGGATACCGTGATAGATAATACCATGTCTGAAACAAACATACATTCTGTTGAATATTTTGTGAGTGAGTGAGTGAGTGAGTGAGTTAGGGCTGGGACGAGCCCAAATCTACTACCCGGGTACCCGCCACCCTAGTACCCGGCCCTACCCAGATACCCGCTTTTGGTCTCAAGAGTTGGGTACCAAATGTCCGAATAGTAATTGTGTTACCGCAGCCCTGGCAAAAACTATTTAGATACATGTATATAACAATCTGATCATGTATAATCTGCAGTTGATAGAAACTTTATCCTTATTTGAACATATAAAAGTCAGAACGAATGCCTGCATAGTGAGAAAGAAATGTGAACATTTGCTATACTTGTAGTGTAACCATTGAGTTTTATCGTTAATGTCATTAAACAGTATGTCACGTGACTAACCACTGGTCCAGGTAGTCATATGGGTACTCGGGTCCTACTCAGGACCCACCCGACCCGAGGACCCGAGTTACCCGTCCCAACATGTTTAGCAATATTCCAGCAATATCATGTCGGGGGACACCAGTAACAGATTTCATATCCTGTACCATGTAGGGAATTAAATCAGCATGGCAAGTGAACGCTTTAACCATTCAACTTCCCCCCCTCAAGCGCTGGTATCTCAGCAAATTAAAACCAGCTTTAGTCAAACTAATACAAGCAGCGACACACACACTTCCGTGGACACTGATTTCCATGTAAGTGACATAACCTTGGAGACAACATTAAACTCTATATCACCTCCTATTTGAAAGTGCAACTCAATACACAGCAACCTTGCTCATGTTCCCTTGTGGAGATAGAATTAATTCAGGAGGACCTGACATTGGTTACATCTTCTCACCTGCTGCAGGCCTCTACAAAAGCCTTCTCATCGGGGGACGACGCCTGGTACAGATACTCATCCCCCGTGTCGCTGTACATGCTAGACGCGGCCCCAGCCTCCACCTCCTCCTCCGTCCCCGCCTTGCGCTCAACACGCACTGTGTGACACAAGGCCAGCACCGTGAAGAACTCCTCCACCTCCCTCTGAAACAAGCATGTGTAACTACCGTATTGGGAAACAACCATGCCTAGCCATAACTACAGCAGTGTCTGAAATAATTTTAAGACCAAATAAGAGAGTCAGGCAGGTGACCCATAAGTGTTGCCTGCCCATCTTCAAAGTTACCTGCCGACAATCAGACATAATAAATATTGAAAAATATTTTTAAAAATAAGAGATAGATTGCATTTATTGAGTCTTGATTCAGTTGAAATAATGCTTACAATTACTTGAGAATCTACAAGGAGTTGCAATAAAAGTGAATATGCAAGTTGGCTTAAAATTATCTACTAGACAGTCGGGCAGGTGGCGGAAAATTTCATGCAGCCCGACAGAAAAATTACCAGCCTTGGGCCGGAGGGCAGGCAGTTAATTTGGACACTGAACGAAAGTATTATGAAACAATCGGTTGATCCTTAACTTCTATTGAGGAGTATATGATATTCAAACATTTGATGGCTTGACCCAGGTTCCATATGAGAGGCAGTAGTGATGAACCTGAAATTTTGTAGATTGTGGCCATTCGTCCCTCATTCCCCAGACATAAGAGAATGCACACACAAGGGGGTTCAAGTTTGCTAGAGAGGAATGGCAACTTACTGAAAGACTATGGATGACTTGTGGTTGTCCGTCTCGACTCCGGCAATAAAGCTGACCTCCGACCTCTTCATACTGGACACTGTCAATAGAACATTGCCGAAACTGCATGTAGTTCTCCGTGAGTGTGCCGGTCTTGTCTGTGAACAAGAACTCCACCTGGTGATAAAAAGAAGAACAAGGGAGGTTGAAGTCATGATCATGGGAGGACTAATGGTAGAATTGAGATATATATATATACTCACTGTCAAAAGAAACGCAAACCATAGACACATACAGATAATTATGTATGTTAAGAAGAGTTGGTTGGTTGGTTTGTTAATCAATGCTGCACTCAGCAATATACCAGCTATATAAAGGCGGTCTGTAAATAATCGAGTCTGGACCAGGCAATCCAGTGATTAATATCATGATCATCGATCCACGCAATATGGGATCGATGAAATGCATCAACCAAGTCAGCGAGCCTGACCATCCGATCCCGTTAGTCACCTCTGACGACAAGCAAAGTCACTTTTGACGGCAAGCATGGGTTGCTGAAGACCTATTCTACCCTGGAATCTTCACGGGTCCGTTAAGAAGAGATGTTTCAAACATGTACCACTTAATGACAAAACCAACAATTTGTCAAGTGTTACCACAGAGTGTCTTTATTCTCATCACGATATGCTGCACATGATTTCATAACTTTACACGCTAATCCTGCACGAGACAAATGGTGCTTCTCGAGTCATGGATCTATGATGACACATGTGATCATGTGCTCATGAGTGTCAGTTCACACAACATCAGCGGTAGAAACTAACATTTCCACTACTCCTTATAATGATAGTACAGTAAAGTACGGTTACAACGAACTCAAAGGGACTACTAATTTTAGTTCGTTATAACTGAAGTTCATTATAAGCAAATATACAGCATAACTACAGCAAATAGTCGGGACCAAAAAAGTAAGTTCGTTATATCCGTCAGTTCGTTATAAGCGTGTTCGTTATAACTGTAGTTTACTGTATATAGCCAAACCCTTAAAAATGGCAAATATGTGCTAGTCCTTGGCTGGTTTGGCAAGGACTATAGGACTAGTGCCAACTTCTGACCCTGAACAAACCAGTATGGTCCTTTGTTCATTGAACCAACCTCTTGAAAATGAGTAATTCTTGATATATTAACCAACATGTTTGATTTTCGCGTTTCTCTTGTTGGTGAGTATATATGGTAGGACTAAAATCAACACCAGATTCAGATATCCGACACATATGTCCTATGATGACTTGGGGTGCTGCACATGACGTAATTACCTGGCCTAATTCTTCGTTCAGATCAGAGGTGTTAGCCTTAGCTGGCTCGTTTGTAGTTTCGTCGTACATCAACACATCCCAGCCAAAGTACATGGACCCCACAAACTTCTGGATTTCTGTCCAACAGAGAAATCAGGTTACCAAGGTTACCAATAGATATTGATGAGGAGTGAGTGAGTGTGAGTGAGTGTGTATGGTTTTAGGCTGTTTTTAGCAATATTCCGGCAATATCACTTCGGGGGACACCAGGAATGGGCTTCACACATTGTACCCATGTCGGTGATCGAACCCGGGTCTTTGACGTGACAAGCGAATGCTATTACCACGAGGCTACCAGACCGCCCCTGAGTGAGTGAGTGAGTGAGTGAGTGAGTGAGTGAGTGAGTGAGTGTGTGTGAGTGTGAGTGTGTGTGTGTGTGTGTGTGTGTGTGTGTGTGTGTGTGTGTGTTTCTGTGTCTGTGTATTGTTTTATGCAAATATCAGCACTATTCCAGCAATATCACAGCAAGGGACACCAGAAATGAGTTTCACACATCCCCTTAATGCCGAGCGCCAGGCAAGGTAATGTCATTTGCCATGACGTGGCAGGGAATAAAATCACCGCCCTCCGCTCCCTGGGCAGATGCTCCAGTCACCAGGCCACTTAGATACTTGCCAAACAAACAAGCAAACAAACAAACAAACAAATAAACATTAAGACACAAACTGACAAACACAAGCAGCAAAATGCATACTTATGCATGACAAATTGCACAGCCACCTTTCTAACATGCTGACATCTTGAAAAACAAGTAAACAATGACATTTGCTTCAGCATTATTAATTAATCCGTAAACCATATCGTGATATGTTCATCATAGAGAGTCATGAACAACCTTGACATAGATACGGAACATCGTCACAAAGGAACAATTTGGAAAGTAATCTGGCAATTTTCAAAAAGGTCACATTCTCTTGACACACATTATACATTGTCTTAAATAATATATAACATTTTTATGTTTCTCAAAATGATGTTGAATACAACCGAATCTGCAGCTAGTGTCCGAGAATTTCTCAAATTCTTATTAGAATTCATGTTAAAATAGTCATACATTTTATGTTTAGTTATAACCAATGTCATGTTGTTGTTTGTTTGTTTGTTGTTTAACGCCGCACTCAGCAATATTCCAGTGATATGACGGTTGTCTGTAAATAATCGAGTCTGGGCCAGGCAATCCAGTGACTGATATCATGAGCATTGATCCACGCAATTTGGATACAATGACATGCATCAACCAATCAGAAAGTCTGATCACCCGATCCCCTTAGTCGCCTGAAGCTTGAGACAAACTCACATTTCGTCCTAACAAACCTGGTAAATTTGAAAAGAGATAAAAAATGTAAGAAATGAAACTGGAGTTTGGTCATGGAAATCTCTCCTGAAATAACTTGTTGCCGGGGAAATGCAAAAGTTCTAAATTCCTGCAGTGAAGAACATGTTTCATGAAGAATAAATAATGTATGTGTCTGTAATCTACAGAAGCCTTTTAAGGGGCATTTGCTTTTGTATTTTTATCCTGAAATTTCAAGATAAATTAGTTAGATAATAAGTTGAAATTTCAACTTATTACCTTGACATTTCAACTTAATATCTTGACATTTCAACTTATCACCTTGACACTTCAACTTATTATCTTGAAATTTCAACTTATTTTCTTGCAATTTCAAATTATGTATCTTGAAATTACAACATAGCATCTTGTAATTTCAACTTAGCATCTTGAAATTTCAACTTAGTATGTAGAAAAAAAATAAAAAACAAATGAGCCTAAAAGGCTTCTGTATAGTAATGAGAGAGAAGCAATTCTTACCCACAGTGACATACAGCGATATAGGTACAATGTAGTTTAATAGCACCATGAAAGCAAGGAAATCTTCTATCACATGCATTGCCTGAAAAGACAAAATGAAAGTACAGTGGCTGAAACTAACAAACACATCATGATGAAACAAGCATCATGCACTTGGTTGTCATGCACACGAGGGCTGTTACGATTCATTTGCGTATTCGGTGAATCGAACTGTATCCATTCATGAATTGAATTCGTGGCCACTAGAATCAAATCTTTATGAATATGCAATCATGTGCATTTACATACCCTGTAGCTAAAAATATCCAAAAGAACATATTATATGCATAGATTTCTTCAAAGACAACACTCTTATAATATTTAATTTGACAGTATTGTGTCACTGGTAATTGTCGCATCTGAGCAGATACTACCTGGATAAGTGCAGTATATAAATGCATAATATATTGATAATTAACAAAACATATCAAATATTTTATGTTATTATCGCTTCATTGAATATAACAAATAATAAATCAAAATTTAATATTTATATTCGTTATCCTGTATTTGTGATACGAATCTTAATTGCCTCATAGTGTATTTGTTGCCGCCCTAGTGCACACACAATCAATGGACAATGTTAATGTCTTCAGCATCACACATCAGCAAGGCGAGATGAGGTGAAATGGGGTTCAACATCCTCTACACCACAGATACGGTACATTGTGGGGGTCCAGATGGGGGTCCAGGGGGTCCGGACTCCCCCCACCCACCAACCTCCCATTGAAAATCCCATGGTATGTAGTAGGCAGTAAAATTGACTGAGCAAGGATTTTGATATTTTGAACGCCTCCCTTTTAAAATGCTGGATCCGCTCTTGTACATCACACACCAGCAAGCTTTGTTTATTTGTTGTTTAACGCCACACCCAGAAATATTCCAACTATATGACAGCAGCCTGTAAATAATTGAGCCTGGACCTGGCAATCCAGTAACTCATGTCGGATACATTGACACCAAACCATCGTCCCTTCTGCTTTCTGTTATTTTGAGCATTAAAATATTGTGAGCAACGATCCTCATGTCGGATACATTGACACCAAACCATCTTCCCTTCTGCTTTCTGTTATTTTGAGCATTAAAATATTATGAGCAACGATCCTCATGTTGGATACATTGACACCAAACTATTTTTCTTTCTGGTTTCTGGTATTTTGAGCATAAAAATATTGTGAGCAACGATCCTCATGTCGGATACATTGACACCAAACCTGCACGCCCTAATCTCCCTGAGGTGTGCAAGGGTACTCACCGTGGGGTCGTCTTTGCCTGCGGGGACGTACCACGGCAGGGGGTATGTGGAAGTATACCAGTACTTGAGGCCAGACAGTACTATACACTCCAACAGCAGCACCAGCAGGAACACAATCAAAAACATGTTCATTGCCCTGAAACAAAAAAAATTTATAACCACATCTGTTATTTAGCATGACTGTAGCTTTGCATCACAAACGCAAGACATGCTGTACACTCTAGGATATGACCTTGGTGTGTGTGTGTGTGTGTGTGTGTGTGTGTGTGTGTGTGTGTGTGTGTGTGTGTGTGTGTATGTGTGTGTGTACGTGTGTGCACCTGTGTCTGTGTGTTGGGTGGTGTGTGTGATGTGTGTGTTTGCGTGCACATGCATCTTTGTGTGTGTGTGCATACGTACGTGTGTGTGCATGTGCGTCTGTGTTGGTGTGTTGGGTGGTGTGTGTGTGTGCGTACGCATGTGTGTGTGCGCACCCATGTGTGTGTCTCTGGTATGTGTGTGTGTGCACGCATGTGTGTGTATGTGTCTGTGTGCGTGTGTGCATATGTGTGCATATGTGTGTGTTGTTGAACTCCACACAAAGCAATATTCCAGCTACACAATGGAGGCCTGTAAATAATCCGTGATTCCATGACTGATAATGTGAGCAAAGTCAGGTTATGACACGCAATCAGCCAAGCATCCAGGTGTTACATTAGTCCCTCCATAAACACAGACCATAATCAAGTAAACTGTTAATAATAATAAAAAGGATGATCTACCTTTCCACTCTGGAGAATTTGGCTTGTTTGAACTTGGAGTTGAGGGCCATCTTGGTCTCCTGGCCTGTATATATTGCACAGCCTGAAACAGTGAGTGAGTGAGTTTGGTTTTACGCCGCTTTTACTAGTTTTAGCAATATTCCAGCAATATCACGGTGTGGGACACCAGAAATGGGCTTCAAACATTGTACCTATGTCGGGAATCAAACCCGGGTCTTTGGGGTGACGAGCGAACGCTTTAACCACTAGGCTACCCGACCGCCCCGACAACTTGAAGCAGGAACATAGACTGTTGGGTTGAAGTTTGCAGCTACTTACAATTTCAGCAACCACCATTGTTTGAAAGGTGTTAGCCATATTGTCATGGGTGGCCAAGTTCTGAAGGAATGAATGAATGCTTGTTTGTTGTTTAATGCTGCACTCAGCAATATTCCAGCTAAATAATCGAGTCTTGAACAGACAATCGAGTGTTTGACATCATGAACATCGATCCACCGGTTGGGATATGATGACATGCATCAACCAAGTCAGCGAGCCTGAACACCCGATCCCATTAGTCGCCTTTTATGACAAGCAAAGTCGCCTTTTACGACAAGCATGGGTTGCTGAAGACCTTTTCTCTGCCCAGACCTTTTGGGTTGTTGAATGAATGAATGAATGAATGAATGAATGAATGAATGAATGAATGAATGAATGAATGAATGAATGAATGAATGAATGAATGAATGAATGAATGAGAGGTATCTACTTCCAGCACATGATTCATGAGACTGGAACAAAACAGCAGTAGTCTGGGGATAGTTCCGGAACCAGGCTGTGACTTCAACCACTCGTCAAGTGACATTTTGTTTGGTCTGGTCCATTCCGCTAATAATATTCAACCTATTGAAACCTATTGAAACCTATTGAAACAGACTGAAAAGCCTTGAGCACAGACTGCCATATTTCAGGTCATCCCACATAATATGCATGACATGTTAACAGGGTGCTAACACCAATGGAAAAAGCACGCTTGGTCACCTAGTCATCAGAATGAACACAAACACCTAGCTGTAGACACTATACAGATCAATGTATCACGACATTGATCTATCAGCGCCATACTGCAGGATTCAATACTTATTCCGAATCACAGTTGGCAGATCAATACGATCTCAAGCCCATGTTTCATCAACTGTGACAGCGTTTTAATGGGCCATTAATGGCGCCTGGGTACTCAAAGGATAAAAGACCTCTACAAACTTCTGTTTCCTTCCAAGCAGATCTGCTGATTCAAAACTTCACAAGAGTGGAATACTAAGCAGTGTTAGAAATTGGCACTAGTCCTGTATAGTCCTTTTCAAACAGCACAATAGTTATGGTATCATAAAGACTAGTAGACATTTGCTACTTCCAAGGGCTTTGCTATATCATTATAAGGACCAGTGGACTGAAAATGTTAGTTTCTACCGCTGGATTTTAAGAACCATCTTTTCTTCCGTGAAAGTGTGTTTAATAGTTTCATCATTGAGGAAAAACAAAGGTCAATTACAAAATGCGAAGCAAGTAACCTTTTAACTTGACATTAAAAAAACACTTTTCTATTTCTTCCACATCATGTATATATTATGACCTCTGAACTTCTGGGATATAAATAGAATGATCAGAGATTCCTTGAAAGATTTGCTTATTTCTGAGCATGACTGATGAAGATTGTATCATGATCTGTCCCGTCAACATTGTACATAGGCAGTGGCAGTGAGGGGGTGAGTGGTTCAAGCGTTCACTTATCACATTAAAGACTCAGGTTTGATTCCTTGCAATGACATCAGTTTGACCTGGTATCATGACCGTGGTAGTGTAAGTGAATGAGTGAGTGAGTGAGTGAGTGAGTGAGTGAGTGAGTGAGTGAGTGAGTGAGTGAGTGAGTGAGTGAGTGAGTGAGTGAGTGAGTGAGTGAGTTTTACGCCATTACAAGTCATGGTGGGGGAACACCAGAAATGGGCTTCACACATTGTACCCATGTCGGGAATCGAACCTGGGTCTTTGGCGTGACGAGCGAACGCTTTAACCACTAGGCTCCATGGTATGGCAAGACATCGGGAATCTCATAAAATATATCACCACTAGTGGATAAAGGTTTAAGGCGTGCCAAGGAGGTTTTAGCTCTTATAGATGAGTGTATATATACTTATTATCAAACGACATGAGTGAGACATTTTTTTTATACAAAATCATTCTTTCGACTTTTTAAGTTTGGAAGTTATAACCAGAGTATTGAGAGTACAAAGTACAGCTAACCAGCTTCAGTGACAGAGAGATTATATCACGACCTGTTACTGAAATGTCATGACACTTCAACAATCACAAGGGCTGGCTGAATAGATAGATAATCGGAACATATCGTCGATGGGAAGAAATATTAACGGTTATCAATATGAAAATTGTCTCATCGATAACATCAACTATTGTGATGAAAATAAGTTTTATTTACTGAAGATGAGTGTTTTATCCATTGCCGAAGACAGGAAGCAACTGAGGAGTTGCATCTTGAGGGTCCACAAAGTAATCCATGCATACATCTGTGACCCCTCACCAGTGACGTGAAATACGCTGTTTTGTCTCTGAACTGTTTTCATATTTGCTCAAAGTTACTTCTCTGATATTTATCGACAATCGATCACTATTTAGTTAATGATTATCAATCTCTAAGATCTATATCAATAGCCGCCCTAATAATCTATCGGTATATCACAACTAAAATCTGGTTCGGTACTCACCATAGATATAGGGGGTATTTTTCAACCTTGCACCCCGAAGGAGGACATTGTCAGGCCCCAGGGGTTTGACGTGGCCCTCGCCGCTGCTCTTGAATATGTTGATCCTGCCGATGAACCTGTACAAGTCGGGGATGGGTTGCTGACACTCGATGCTGGCCTCCAGGTCATGGAGGTCTTGCTCCTTTTGGCACTTCCTTGTGTCTTGCACGCACATGTGAGTCTAAAACAAAAGCACGACTTAATAAACCTCTGGCTTTTTGGCAGTCCTAGACAGTAGACACAATCTGTGGATCATAACTTCTTTACAATAAACTAAAGAAGTTGTCATCTATAAATTGTGTCTACTAGGGCTGGGACAGGTCCAGATTTACTACCAATGTACCCATCCCCTATTACCCTACCCTACCCGGGTACCCACTCTAGGTCTCAGGAGATGTCTCAAAATGTCCTATTGGGAAGTTTTTTAGCATAGCCCTGGCAAAACGTATTTAGATACATGTATTAAACAATCTGGTCATGCATACACTGAAGTTTACTTAAGCTATATCTATATTCAACCATATGAAAAATCAGAAGGAATGGGTACATAGTCAAAAAGAAAAGCGAACATTAATGACTTGTAATGTAACCATAGAGTTCCACATAATTTTAGTCATTAGACAATATATCTTGTGATTAACCACAGGCCCAGGTAGTCCTTTGGGTACCCGGGTCCTACTCAGTACCCACCCGACCCGGGTACTCGAGTTACCCATCCCAGCCCTAGTGTCTACTTTGTCTTCCGTCAACTTCAAAGTAAAGCCTATCAAACAATTCTGTCCTAGAAAGTGTGATTCAATTCAGTCAAAAACACAGGATTTCTTAGAATCTTCTTAAAAGCTATGGTGATGAATGGGTCCAGCGTATTTATCATGATAGAAAGGATAAGCAAGGATGTATGAGCCTATGAGCTACGGCTGCGAGAGTGAAGTCATCTTAAAGGGAGACTATTCTCCATGGTCAGCAAAGAACTGTCATTACCCTTGTGCCCTTGTGTTCAAGATGTCAGCTTGTACACATAACAACATGATAGTTTCTTAAACAACTTGTACCAATGATAGGAATTAAAATAACAAACAGCCGATATTGTTGGGTACAGGGTATTCATTGCTGTGTACCATATTGCCATTTAATACATTATACCTGACTTTGAGATGCTTTACAATTCATCATCCCATTTGGAGCCAAACAGACTGTAATTACAATTCTTTGCGGACTGTAGTGGAGGGGACTGTAGTGGAGGTGTGAGATCTTACTGATCCCGTGAAGACCCGGGGTAGAATAGGTCTTCAGCAACCAATGCTTGCTGTAAGAGGCGACTATGCTTGTCGTAAGAGGCGACTAACGGGATCAGGTGGTCAGGCTCGCTGACTTGATTGATGCATGTCATCGTATCCCAATTACGCGGATCGATGATCATGATGTCAATCACTGGATTGTCCGGTGCAAACTTGATTATTTACAGACTGCCATCATATGGCTGGAATATTGCTGAGTGCGGCGTTAAACAAAGAAACAAACAAACAAACAAACAAACAAACACTGGTTACTGATACACTGGTTTAGCTTCTTCATGTTTTTGTAACCACATAAATTGTAATATCTTTTTGGGATACGCACATATTGCAAATTGTGTTTTTTTGAGTGATTTAAGTCAGTATATAACACTCAAACTGTCACTCATGCACATGTTGACATACACAAATAAAACACAGTGGGAGGGCACCTGCCAAAATATCTTCCTGCAGATGTTTGTTTGACAGTTTCAGATGAAGGTGTGGAAATAGCAGTATTTTTGACTTGTTTGTGTCACTCAAAGTTTGTACACAACAGTAGTCTGAACAGCATTAGCTTGTTGTCATGACAACTAACACTTGCATAATTCAGTACCATGGCAACAGAACCTTACACTATTCCCAGTTTATCATGCCTATTGTGGCAGCTGTTTGTGTGCAGGTCTTAGATGTTTACCACTTTGAAAATGAAAATGCGAACCCACAATCCTGACCCTAAGACTTTGAAGATCATGTTAATGGCAGAGACACCTTGACTTATACGCAAAGGGGTTGGATTTTAGGCCCTTTTGGGTAATATTTCAGATCTATTTTCTTTGGTGCATGAGTGGAGTTCTAAACCCACTCAATACCTGTCTCTTTCAACCTTTAATGGGGGGCACGGGTGGCGCAGTGGTCTAAGGTGCCGCGATTCGCTCTGCAGATTCGCGTCCCTTGGGCACGCCAGAAACCTATGATTGTGGGTTCGAATCTCGGTTCGCTCCAATTATGTTTCTAGGTTTGTCAGCACCATACCCGTGCTCGTGGGTTTCACCGAAGTGGTAAATGTCTGAGACCTGCATCACTTCGGGCTTTCCTCCCACATTAAGCTGACACGCCGTGATATAACTGGAATACTGTTAAAAGCGGCGTTAAACCCAACTCACTCACTCACTCATTCAACCTTTAACATTGGGGTTATGATAAGGACCGAAACAATAATCAATATGGATTAAATTACTAAAACAGGCCATTCAATACTGATGTTGTTTACAGATGCAGGTGATTGTCTGATAGCTCGGAAATACCAATAACCTAGAAAGCCTTCAATAAGAGAATGTCGCCATCCAGTTAAGTGCATCGTCAGAAAGGGAGATCATATGTCCCCTGATACAATAATCAATCAAACAATAGTTCCATGGCTGTTACTGATGGGTTAATGACGATGCATTGATTGCCTATAGTTTTTGCATTTATGGATTCATAAAGGGTAATAACCTGAGTAATTGAACAAGAGTTATCATTGTTAATAATTCTAACAATACTACCTCATGCATATGTCATGGCTTGGTTGGTTATGATGCTATTTGGTAACAACTAGTCGTGCATTTGACAGTGAAGAGGACGTCTGTTGAAAATCTGAAAACTTTAGTTGGTGTGACTGAAGCCAGAATACAGGATTTATGGCAAAGATGTAATAGAGGTAGAGGGTTTCGTAAGAATTGTGGATTTACGCAAAGTGTGCACACCAGTTTTTAAGTTTCTATCTCCATAAATGCCAGAATCATTGAAGTCAATTCTTATACATAAATATAGTCAACAAAATTACTTCATAAACTGCTTATTTAATGATTACCACACACAAAGCTGTAGACCACAATATGAAATCTGTGACGTGTCTTCAAAGATCAATTTTGTGTGGACAAGTAAGGGTTAGTCAGACACTAATTTGAACATTTTTTACATGCACTTGGTTGCACAATAGGTTGCACTTGTGAATGTTTTGAATGTAGCTAAATGGATGCATGACATAAAAACCTGGGAAAAGTCAAACATGTTGGGCTTTGATGTCATGTTTGTTTGTTTGTTTGTTGTTTAACCCTGCACTCAGCAATATTCCAGCTATGTGACGGCAGTATGTAAATAATCGAATCTGAACCAGACAATCCAGTGATTGACATCATGAGCATCAATCCATGCAATTGGGATACGATGACATGCACAACCAAGTCAGCAAACCTGACCACCTGATCCCGTTAGTCGCCTCTTACGACAAGCATAGTCGTCTTTTACGGCAAGCATGGGTTGCTGAAGACCTATTCTACCCCGGAATCTTCACGGGTCGATCAATGGGAACAAAATCTACTTTGTAGAATGGTAAAAGCTTTAATGCTACAGTGATAGAAGCAGGACACCATATATGGATATGGTCTCTGTAGTAATATAATACCATTGCAATGGTTGCCCAACTAGGACAATAGCCTAGCAGTAGTGTGAACCATTGCAACACCAATACATAGCTATAATGAGAGTCTTTATTATAAGGCATTTAGAAGTTGGACAGAAATATGACAAGGAATGTTGTAACTTTTAAACATTATCTAAAATATTGCTTGTCATATAGGTAATTATTACCTATAGGGTTAGAAATAACTGACTTAATGAAAATCGAATGTTCACTCGTGCAAATATCACTTCTCCCGCAGCAGTGTAGTGTTTAGGTCATCAGGACAGCACTTTTTGACATCATTCGAATCTTATTGTGACGTAAGGTCGGAATGACGTCGCACGAGAAACAACGTCATAGCTGAAGATTGTTGACGTCATTGTGGTCATTAATTTTGTATCTACTAAACAACATGCATTTGAGAAGGACAACTTTGTGTACAGTCTGGCTAAAATATATCTCGATTCACAACATGAAAAGATGAAGACTAACTTTTAAGTTGGTCTCTCCGTCCAGGTTGGCAGTTGTGATGTAGCAGGTGCCCTCCGGGTCGCTGGACGACAGCATCACCAGGTCACATGGGAAGTCTTCGTTGGCTTCCACTCTCACAATATCCCCAACCTGCAAAAAACATGAAAACACAATATCAACGTGTGCAGAGGTTTTTGATGCATTAATGTACAGAAAATAATGATTCTCCCCTAGTGCTTGTCATATCTTGGATGACCCTCCACTAGTGCTTGTCATATCCTGGATGACCCTCCCCTAGTGCTTGTCATATCTTGGATGACCCTCCCCTAGTGCTTGTCATATGCTGGATGACCCTCCCCTAGTGCTTGTCATATCTTGGATGACCCTCCCCTTATGCTTGTCATATCTTGGATGACCCTCCCCTAGTGCTTGTCATATCTTGGATGACCCTCCCCTTATGCTTGTCATATCCTGGATGACCCTCCCCTAGTGCTTGTCATATCTTGGATGACCCTCCCCTAGTGCTTGCCATATGCTGGATGACCCTCCCCTTATGCTTGTCATATCTTGGATGACCCTCCCCTAGTGCTTGTCATATCTTGGACGACCCTCCCCTAGTGCTTGTCATATCTTGGATGACCCTCCCCTTATGCTTGTCATATCCTGGATGACCCTCCCCTAGTGCTTGTCATATCTTGGATGACCCTCCCCTTGTGCTTGTCATATCTTGGATTTATTGATTCATGGAAAAAAACTAGAAATTGTAAGAAATAGTCTTTCCAGATTTTCACAAGTCTTGGACTAAATATTCACTGGCCATTTCGAACCCTGACATCACTGTGCAAATACACTGCACAAATTCGCCACATTAATGCCAAATGCCAAACAAAGAAGCTGAGTTCGGCATTCAGTTATTTTGGTTGGTTGGTTGGTTGGTTGGTTTGTTGTTTAAAGCCGCACTCAGCAATATTCCAGCTATATGACGGCGGTCTGTAAATAATCGAGTCTGGACCAGACAATCCAGTGATTGATATCATGAGCATCGATCCACGCAATTGGGATCGATGACATTCATCAACCAAGTCAGCGAGCCTGACCACCTGATCCCGTTAGTCGCCTTTTACGACAAGCATAGTCACCTTTTACGGCAAGCATGGGTTGCTGAAGACCTATTCTACCCCAGGTCTTCACGGGATCAGTAAGATCTCACACCTCCACTACAGTCCGCAAAGAATTGTAATTACAGTCTGTTTGGCTCCAAATGGGATGATGAATTGTAAAGCATCTCAAAATCAGGTATAATGTATTAAATAGCAATATGGTACACAGCAAAGATTTTGATATTTTAGTGTTTGATAGCAAGATTACACCTGTGGGCATGATTATTAATAGGTCATTATCAAAATTTGTACCCCCTTTAGTCCTGTTGAATAAACAAAAATAAAAGCTTTAGTGATTTGACAAGAAACATCTGAACTTAACAAATAGTTGGGTAAATTATGCAAACACAAAGAAACATATTTTGAAATATTTGAATATACTGGAGAAATTTATTGTCCTTGGTGTAACCATTATAGTTACCAATCTTTTGCAGATACATGTATAAGAAATAAATCCACTCTTTCCTTGAGTGTATTATTGCAAAACTAACATTTTACCTCTGCCTAGAAAAGAAAAAGAATCTCACTTTTAATATCACCACGTCTTAAAGCCAGTGGATCATCACTCTTTATGAGAAATAATAAGAAAAAATTATAATTGTCTCTTCTCTGTGTCCCACACATTACCAAAATGATCGATACAATTTCAATGTTCTTTATTTATTGAACATGTTCTTTGTACTTATTGAAAATCATGCAATGCAGTGTGTGTTCACCTGAATAATTTTCAGAATTTTCTCTAGTAACACGGTTACACCAAAGACAAAAAGGTTACACCAAAGACAAGGCGGTAAAAAAAAAAGACAAAACGGTTACACCAAAGACAAGGCAGTAACACCAAAGACAAAACGGTTACACCAAATACAAAGGGGTAACAACAAAGACAAAATGGTTACGCCAAAGACAAAATGGTTACACCAAAGACAAGGCGGTAACACCAAAGACAAAACGGTTACACCAAAGACAAGGCAGTAACACCAAAGACAAGGCGGTAACACCAAAGACAAGGCAGTAACACCAAAGACAAGGCGGTAACACCAAAGACAAGGCAGTAACACCAAAGACAAGGCGATAACACCAAAGACAAGATGGTAACACCAAAGACAATGCGGTAACACATAAGACAAGGCGGTAACACCAAAGACAAGATGGTAACACCAAAGACAAGGCAGTAACACCAAAGACAAGGCGGTAACACCAAAGACAAGGCGGTAACACCAAAGACAAGGTAGTAACACCAAAGACAAGACAGTAACAACAAAGACAAGGCGGTAACACCAAAGACAAGGCAGTAACACCAAAGACAAGGCGGTAACACCAAAGACAAGATGGTAACACCAAAGACAAGGCGGTAACACCAAAGACAAGGCGGTAACACCAAAGACAAGGCAGTAACACCAAAGACAAGGCAGTAACACCAAACACAAGGCGGTAACACCAAAGACAAGGCACTAACACCAAAGACAAAACGGTTACACCAAAGACAAGGCGATAACACCAAAGACAAGAGGGTAACACCAAAGACAAGATGGTAACACCAAAGACAAGGCGGTAACACCAAGGACAATGCGGTAACACATAAGACAAGGCAGTAACACCAAAGACAAGATGGTAACACCAAAGACAAGGCGGTAACACCAAAGACAAGGCAGTAACACCAAACACAAGGCGGTAACACCAAAGACAAGGCACTAACACCAAAGACAAAACGGTTACACCAAAGACAAGGCGATAACACCAAAGACAAGAGGGTAACACCAAAGACAAGATGGTAACACCAAAGACAAGGCGGTAACACCAAGGACAATGCGGTAACACATAAGACAAGGCGGTAACACCAAAGACAAGATGGTAACACCAAAGACAAGGCGGTAACACCAAAGACAAGCGAAAACCAAAGACAAGGCAGTAACACCAAAGACAAGGCGGTAACACCAAAGACAAGGCAGTAACACCAAAGACAAGGCAGTAACACCAAAGACAAGGCAGTAACACCAAAGACAAGGCAGTAACACCAAAGACAAGCGAAAACCAAAGACAAGGCGGTAACACCAAAGACAAGGCGGTAACACCAAAGACAAGATGGTAACACCAAAGACAAGGCGGTAACACCAAAGACAAGGCAGTAACACCAAAGACAAGGCAGTAACACCAAAGACAAGGCAGTAACACCAAAGACAAGGCAGTAACACCAAAGACAAGGCGGTAACACCAAAGACAAGGCAGTAACACCAAAGACAAGGCAGTAACACCAAAGACAAGCGAAAACCAAAGACAAGGCAGTAACACCAAAGACAAGGCGGTAACACCAAAGACAAGATGGTAACACCAAAGACAAGGCGGTAACACCAAAGACAAGGCGGTAACACCAAAGACAAGATGGTAACACCAAAGACAAGGCGGTTACACCAAAGGCAAGGCGGTAACACCAAAGACAAGATGGTAACACCAAAGACATTACCATTACTCATAACGACTTTTCTTTCACGTCACAATAATCTATCAGTAGGAAATGCTGCACTATAGTTGGTGTTGCATATTTGCAATGGTATCAGACAATTGTTTCAAGGCCTGGATGTGAAGATGCAAATGTACCTCCGGGTTTCATCTCTCACAAATACATGTTGTATGAGGCGACTCACAGTAATGGGTGGTCAGGCTTGCTGACTCGGTGGATGCATGTCATCATATCCCAATTGCGGAGATCAAAGCTCATGATGTCAATCACTGGATCGTCTGGTCCAGACTCAATAATTTACAGACAGCTGTCATATAGCCAGAATATTGCTGAGTGTGGTGTTAATGAACAAGCAAACAAAGACACATCCCTTTGGTACGTCAGGCTCCCAAGACTAAGAGTTTGTAACCCACTAAGAATTCCAGACATTCGCCCATGAGCTGCCTGCCACCAGTTGACAATAACCCAAAGGCTAACCTACCTCGATTTGGTGTATTGTCCAGGACCCCCAACCCCCCTCTTCCTCAAAGAGGGCCCAGAGTGTATAGTCCCTCTAGATCATGTTGCATGTCTTGTAGGAAGATATTAGAAAACGTATTGTGTGATTTCCATTGGCTGCTTAAAACCACTTGTTCCACAGACACTGATTTCCACGTAGCTAGACTTGTTGCTAATGCCCGTATTTCATGCACCTTATAACTTCCCAATTTCTGTGTTGATATCTGAGCTAGAATTATTTGCATCTTCCTTTTGATTTACAGATTGTTTTCCATTGTTAATGTCAGTTGAAATAGCCTCAAAACGTTTCTCAAACAGGCCGGAAATTGACATGGTTAGGGTTTGCAAATCACTCAAATTCTAGGGGTGGTTTGGAATAGGGTTCAAGGTTCTCTCAAGCCTTGAAGGACCAACCTACCCATCGGCCCCAGGCAATGGACCGTGATGCCTGCTCCCTACGTTTGGGCAGTCAGGTTGGGCAACATGATCTCAAATAGCTAGACATGGTTCCCTTGACACCTGTGTGTTTCCCTGAGGTCAAATTACCACAGAGAGAATACTTTTCTGATTTTGTTTCAATTAAAAGAAGAAGGTGATGTAGATGACTTCTTATCCGGCGATCTAGTTTTTCTCTTGGATTTAGATTTCAGACAGTTTAGAACTTTATATAGCTTGTCAAATTTCTCTTTGGAAAGGTCCTTACCTACTTACATCACAGACCTTTCTTTGTTATACCACTGTTCTCAGCAGGTCTTGGAACATAGTAAGTGGTCTGCATACAGTCTTTAGATCTTAAATAGCTGGGACTAATATCCAAAAAAGAACTTGGTTGTGATCAGCAAAATGTTTGCATGTTGAAACCAACGCACACAGAACAGAAGTAATGTTTTCCGGCCTTCTATAGATGCACTGAGCCCAAGGAAAGAGTTTACCTAAAAACTAATTAGATATTTGGCAGTGAAGAGGACGTCTGTTGAAAAAATGAAAAATCTAAAGATTTGATAATGTGAAGGAAGCTGAAACAGGAATTATTGGCTATGATGTGAGAGAGACCATGTAGGACATTTGAAGGAATTATCTGAAACTACTATCCAACTCAAAAGGTTAACTCGTTTCACCAGAGAGATAACGTATCAGACCAAAAGATAAGATTTCTAATGAGATCGTATGAAGATACTAACAAATCTGAACAACCATTAAGCTATTACAATGGCAACCAATTCAGTGTATTCTGCGAGATAATCCCACATTCCTCCTCGCTGTGTCCGAGTCCCATCAAGGCAGCTCTACAACCAAGAGCTTTATGTTCAGGACAGCTACTCAGACGGAAGAACTCTCCCTCGGGAATGCTAATGTGGTTCTATGCGCAATTTCGAAAAATACTATAAGGGAATTTTCAACAGTAAAACATGATAATGCCTGTCATGTCTGAATAATGCATGCAAGTCAAGAGGCCCATTGAAGCACTAATGTTCAAAGTGAATATTTTTGGATCCTTTATATCAAACACTACTGGAGCAAACTATCGTTCTTCATTTAGACCATCATTGCAGAAGCTTACTTAACTGAGGGGTGACAATGTGTGAGTGAGTGAGTGAGTGAGTGAGTGAGTGAGTGAGTGAGAGTGCAGTTTGTGAAAAATGTAATTGTGCAAATGAAAACTTTTAAAAACTAATTTAAGAGTTAAGATAAATTAGATATATATACCTTGGTTTACATCATATTCATAAACTGGAAAAGTGATGACTGATTTTCTGCAATCTGTTCAAATCACTCTCACCCCTATTGTGCCTTTTAAGCCCCAATGGAAACAGATAATTGATCATGATAATCAGGGTTTAACGCGACTAACAAATGGGCTTCCAGTACGCACAAGTGTAGAGAATGGATATATACTGCCTCCCAAAGGACGCACAATAATATTCATCAAGGGCAGTTATGGGTGTCTGTCATTTCATCCATCAATAATGACCGCTGTCATGATCATTGATTCATTCCTGGCTCTAAAGTAATAATGAAGATGTACAGACAATACACCGTATCATTACTTTACAGGACCCTCATCCTGCCTTCAAGGACCCTTAAAAGTAGATATTGGCATGGGGGTCCCCTGGATCCCCGGTTTTGTATGTCAAGGTAAAACCATAATAATAATTCTCTGGCATTGACTTTTTATATCATACTGACCTTTTCCTGATATTACCTTCCACAAAACCACATATCAATACAAAAGAACTTAATCCCCACTTGATGAGAGAACAGGTACAAAAATTGAGCAATGACAAATCTGGGAATGATTGCCTTGAATCCTCGACCAGAAACACCTTGTACCACTGGGCCAACACCCTGAAGTACTCACACTAGGAAGGTATATCTTATCACATGGCTGAAGACTGGCCAATCAAATACCAATCTTTGACTAAACAATCAGAGACCGCTGATCACTGACCAACCACACACCAGTGTTTGACTTGACAATCAGAGACCGCTGATGACTGACCAACCACACACCAGTGTTTGACTAGCCAATCTGAGACCGCTGATCACTGACCAACCACACACCAGTGTTTGACTAGACAATCAGAGACAGCTGATCACTGACCAACCACACACCAGTGTTTGACTAGACAATCTGAGACTGCTGATCACTGACCAACCACACACCAGTGTTTGACTAGACAATCTGAGACCGCTGATCACTGACCAACCACACACCAGTGTTTGACTAGACAATCAGAGACTGCTGATGACTGACCAACCACACACCAGTGTTTGACTAGCCAATCAGAGACTGCTGATGACTGACCAACCACACACCAGTGTTTGACTAGACAATCTGAGACTGCTGATGACTGACCAACCACACACCAGTGTTTGACTAGCCAATCAGAGACCGCTGATGACTGACCAACCACACACCAGTGTTTGACTAGCCAATCAGAGACTGCTGATGACTGACCAATCAAATACCAGTGTTGACTGCTTAGCTGATGACTGACCAATCAGAGGCAACCCATATTAGACACTTACTTTGATATGCATGGACTTGATCTCCTCTATCTTTGACCCTTGCAGGACCTTGGCGGATGTGTTGTTGACCTCACGGTCAGCCTTGTGACGTAGCCAGTCTTCATAGCCCTGGAGCAAAAGGGGGACAATATCCATCATGAAGACTACACTGTTTATGTCAGGTCAAAATAAATACCCGCTCAACGTCATCTTAAAAGAAACAACTTTTTGTTTAGTGAAGCAACCGGTCAGTATGTCAAAGCCGGCATTGATTGTAAATCTTAAAACTTTCATGGAAAATATGTGGAAATTGGATAAGAAAAAAGCTTTTCATTTCACCCTTAATCATCTACTTTTATATAATTAGATTTCTTACTACATACAAACCAATTACACATAGTACTACACCACATGTATTATTATTATTACTATTATTATTTTTATTATCATTTTTATTATTATTTTATTATTATTATCATTTTTATTATTATTATTATCTATTGTTTTCTTCATTTTCACAGAGAGTGTTTACAGCATGTAGTCCAAGATTTGAATTGACTGCAGGTTCTATTTTGGCAGGGTTTTCCCAAATCCTGGGCGTTGAGTCAGCCTAATGGACAATACATTGGCTTGTCATGCCAAAGGCCCAGGTTCGATTCCACAAGCCTATTGTTAGCGTTAACTGGCGTGACATTAACAGAATGTCACTAAAAGCGGCATTACCCACTCACTCACTCACTCATCCACCCTCCCATTCTTCTCTCAGCAACCTCACCACTCACCCATTTCTAACACTCACTCCACCACTCACCCACCCACTCTCACTCACTCATCCACACTCCCTCCCACCCTACCACTCACTCATTCCTCACTCACCCGTCCACCCTCCCTCCCACCCTACCACTCACTCATTCCTCACTCACTCATTCTTCACTCGATCATTCCTCACTCACTCACTCATTCCTCACTCACTCACTCACTCACCCGTCCACACTCCCTCCCACCCTACCACTCACACTCATTCTTCACTCACTCATTCCTCACCTATTCCTCACTCACTCACTCACCCGTCCTCCCTCCCACCCTACCACTCACTCACTCATTCCTCACTCACTCATTCTTCACTCACTCATTCCTCACTCACTCACTCACCCGTCCACACTCTCTCCCACCCTACCACTCACTCACTCATTCCTCACTCACTCATTCTTCACTCACTCACTCACTCACTCACTCACTCACCCACCCTCCCACCCAATCACTCTACATATCTAGGGTGGCCAAGGAAATGGGCTGAGAAAGTCAATCCTCCGACGGCACTTGTACCACAGTGTTCTGCTGAACATCAACAAAGCAGGACTTAATATTACATCATGTTCCTCAAGTTGCAGTCAACAATTGTGTCAAACATTTCCTTGTCAGGTGAAGACTGTAAATACTCAACAACACATTCTCAACACCCCTTGTCACGAGGATATTTATAACCAGATATTTACTACCCTGCTGTTTGTATTGGGAGGGAGTGACAGGTTGTTGGGCTTAAGTTAGGTTCCCCCACAACTGCATAACAACAACACACTGTATATGTATAGACCTCCTCGTATCTCTATTTATGGCCCATTGTCTGATTTGTGGCCAAAAGTCACAACACACAAAATGAGACAAAATAGTCTGACTAGATGTCTAATTAATGGATCAGAAAAGTTTGTTGTTTGTTGTTTAACGTTGCACTCAGCAATATTCCAGCTATATGACGGCAGTCTGTAAATAATCGAGTCTGGACCAGACAATCCAGTGATTGACATCATGAGCATCAATCTGATATGGGATAGGATGACATGCTTCAACCAAGTCAGCGAGCCTTACCCCCGTTAGTTGCTTCCTATGACAAGCAAAGTCGCCTTTCGCGGCAAGCAAGGGTTGCTGAAGACCTATTCTACCCCAGATCTTCACGGGTCGGATCAGAAAAGATTTGATAGACGCAGAATTTTAGTTCAGGCACTCTTCCAACATCAAGCAAATAGTTTAAGAATAATTATGTTTTCCAGTATTGTCTTGAATAAATTGTGCTTTTCTAAAAGAAAATCCCACCCCTAAGCACTACACCGAGTATCCATTGCCCTGACAGATGATGCCCACACAGAGCTGAGTGGTTTATTTGTATCACAACTACATGATCTATGGGGGCAATTACAGATCTCTCCCTGTTTAACCTTTACAAACAACCTATGAGCTAGTGGATAAAACAGTGTATCGCTTTAACCACTCGTCCCAGAAAACAGACACAGACACAGACACAGACACAGACGCAGACACAGACACAGACACGGTGTCCTCTTCAACACAAACATATCAGTTGGTTGGTTTGTTGCTTAACGCCGCACTCAGCAATATTCCAGCTATATGACGGCGGTCTGTAAATGATTGAGTCTGGACCAGACAATCCAGTGATTAATATCATGAGCATCGATCTACGCAATTGGGATCGATGACATGCATCAACCAAGTCAGCGAACGTGACCATTCGATCCCGTCACCTATTAAGACAAGCATAGTCACCTTTTACAGCAAGCATGGGTTTCTGAAGATCTACTCTATCCCGGATCTTCACGGGTCTAAACATATCAGAGCAACATACTTTGAAACCTTGTCTATCAACAAACTTTTTTCATTTTGTCTTATTCATATCATTCTCTAAATAATTATCCCCTGAATGTTTATCAAAAGGAACAAATATGACAGGAATTCTTTTTATCAAAGATTTCATGATGAAGTCATTTTAAAAACGTCTCATTCAATTCTATTATCCCTACAAGTTTATAAAAACGAGCAATAACGATTGGATTTCTTAACAAAAATTTCAGGATCAATTCTGTGTTTGAGCTTCTGATTGTAGATGACAGGTATCAATCAACACTTAATGGGTTAATCATAATGCTTTCAGCTGTTGCTGACTCGGTGTGTTGAGCTCAGTAATGCACAACACGGTGATTGATTGTCAATAATTCATAGGTCAATTGAAGAGATTGGAAGCAATGTGTGCACTATCGACCTGAGTCTGTATGCTGTCTGCTGGTATACCTGACGACCAGTCAACATTGGCGGCACCACAACTGCCGATATGGATTATAGGACAACTTACCTTCACAATTGCCGAGAGGGATTATGGGATAACCTGGCCACAGAAAAATATCTGGTTTCCCTTTTATTTGTTCAGTTCAACAAATCAAGAACTGAGTTGTTCAAAAAACATCTTTTTATCCTATAATGGATAGGGGTATCGATGCGATATACCAATCCTATAAACGTATCACGATCTGATATAGATGCAAGGAACTACAATCAAGCTCCATACACCGACGCAATGCCTTCTTTTTTGGTTAACTATTGACTAACAATCCCAGTATCTTAGATAGCTTCCCTGCTACTTTCCTACTTTGTTTACATGACATCAACCATTTGGACTCATTTTCCGACTTATCACTGTTTATGTAATGACTGTTTTTTTAGACAATGTCTGATGAATTGATAGCAGACATGTTACTGAAACGTTTTGAAATAACATTTTTATCATATTACGAACTAACGAGAGAAAAATAAGATATTTTGTACAGTTCGCACACATGGTGATTTTTCCTGAATTTGTTTTATGTCAAACGTCTTTATGATGTCATAGCACGATTGTATCCTAGCACCCATAAGGTCCCTTTCTGCTGTGGGCTGAACATGATAACATGGGCAGTTCACTCAAACATCATTCTTTTGTGGCTTCAAAAGCTACTTCATTGAATCAAATTACATCTTAAACACCTATTATTTCAGGAGATACATTGCGGTATTGTAAACATGATATAATAGCGATAAAAAATATTTGTATTCCTAATATATGACATTCACAACAAGGAAACACACTTGGTTAATGATCTCTAAGGTGTTCAGGTGTGCCACAATGCACTCATTAAGGTGTTCCGGTGTGCTACGACACACTCATTAAGATGTTCAGATGCACTCAAGGTGTTCCGGTGTGCCACGATGCACTCAAGGTGTTCAGGTGTGCCACGACACACTCATTAACGTGTTATGGTGTGCTACGACACACTCATTAAGGTGTTCAGGTGTGCCACGACACACTCATTAAGGTGTTCCGGTGTGCCGTGACGCACTCAGGGTGTTCCGGTGTGCCACGACGCACTCATTAAGGTGTTCAGGTGTGCTACGACACACTCATTAAGGTATTCCGGTGTGCCACGACACACTCATTAAGGTGTTCCGGTGTGCCACGACACACTCATTAAGGTGTTCAGGTGTGCTACGACACACTCATTAAGGTGTTCAGGTGTGCCACGATGCACTCATTAAGGTGTTCAGGTGTGCCACAACTCACCCATGGTGTTCCAGTGTGCCACGATGCACTCATTAATGTGTTCAGGTGTGCCACGACACACTCATTAAGGTCACTCACCTGTTTTATGGCAGTGACGGAGATGACGAACACCAGGGGTAGGATGCTTGTGATGGGGGTCACCGGGGTGTCTATCAGCAGCTGCAGTAGAAGACAACATTCAAGATGAGCCACAAGATACAACAGTAAAGGGAGGGGAGTCAATGGCCTTGATCCCCCAGGTCAACTGAAGCACTGCAAGTTCAGGATGAAAACCTGTTTCATCAAGGTCAATGTTTGCTTTTAGGAGCCGGCCAAATGATATTCTGGGGTGGGGCTGCAGGGCTGGGGGAGGAAATATTTTGAAAAAATAATCTGTTCTCAAAAACACTGGAGAAAATTAATTTGTTTCCAGGTTTCACCAAAAGAAAACTGGTTCACTGGTTCACTGGATCGTTCTGAAATATAATTTCATTTTTCGCCCCAAATAGTTCTTTTTGAGAAAGAAATTATATGTCCTGAAGTTTACTAGATATAATCATATTTTATGGGTATATCATACCCATTAAATATGATAATATAACCCAGGGGGTTGGATTATGTTCACGTAATTACCAGTTATTTCATATTTCAGGACTGATTAATTATTGTGATCAAGGTGACAGGTGACAGCTCACCTGAACAATACCGACGCACAGGAAGTAGAAGTTGGCCACCCGCCGGAACTGCTCGAACAGGTTCTTGGGTAGAAAGTTCCATAGCGTGTACTGCAACAAAAACAATGTTATAAGTCTTCTTGGTGCATATCAAGAAAGAATTCGGTTATGTAGTACACTGTAGATAACAAAATTAGTAAACCGTAAAATATCAGACTTTTTGCCACCAATTTGTATGGTTCTACTGTCACTGGGTGCCTTTTAGAGATGTTTTACACGACCAAAGATGTTCAAAGATGGTATTGTTGTCTGTTAGAACATGACAGAATACACACTAAGCTGCTTGATCTCACTTGCAATACAAACGGGGGATATATTTCTGTATGCCCTACTCCCTGATTTGACTTGGCCCATCTATCATACAGGACTCAGCCCATGTTTCGTTTGTTTGTTTGTAGTTTAACGCCGCTCTCAGCAATATTCCAGCTTTATGACGGCGGTCTGTAAATAATCAAGTCTTGACCAGATAATCCAGTGTTTGATATCATGAGCTTTGATCCATGCAATACGATGACATGCATCAACCAAGTCAGCGAGCCCAATCACCCTATCCCGATAGTCACCTCTTACAAGCATAATCGCCTCTTATGGCAAATATGGGTTGCTGAAGGCCTATTCTACCTCAGATCTTGACGGGTGGTGGTGGGGTGGGGGAGGTGTGTGAGGGTGGTGGTGGTTAAAGAAATAATCCGTTCCTGAAAATCTTAGGAAAAAATGTTTCTACCTAATAAGGTAGTGATCGAGTGATCGATTTCATGACATTGTGATCTAGTGATTGATGTCATGACATTGATCTATGCAATTGGGATACAATGAAAAGCATCAACCAAGTCAGCAAGCTTGACCACCCGATCCCATAAGTGGCCTCTTACGACAAGCATAGTCGCCTCTTACGGCAAGCATGGGTTGCTGAAGACCTATTCTACCCCGGATCTCCATGGGTATGGACCCCGGAGGTAGTTTAACCTTTTGAATATGTTGCAGATTAGGAACATGACATCAACTGCGAACCTTTGTACCTAGAACTGCTGCCCTAGATCACTCTGCCTTTCCTCCAATGGATAACTCCCATAAATAAGTAACTACTATCCGACACTCTACAGAGCATAAAAAGGTCAGAATACGTTATCTTAATGGTTTTATGTTGCAAATTTTAAAAATGGTGTAGATTATGCGCCATAAACATTTATTCCATACGCCATTATTTAATTTCATTGCCATCTCTAATCTCATGTCTCTAGTCTCTATGGCACAATGCTCAGTAATACTTCAGTAGGTATTGCTGTTAAACCTAACTTCAATACAACTTAAATTCATTTCTGAACGTGATGATGAACATGTACGTCATTTCAAAATAATTTTTCGTTTTCTTTTGTGATGAGAGGTGCATGCAAACTGCAGAAACAACAACATAATTAATGGTTTGTTTCTTTGTTTGTTGGTTGGTTTAACGCCGCACTCAGCAATATTCCAGCTATATGACAGCGGTCTGTAAACAATCAAGTCTGGACCAGACAATCCAGTGATTGACATCATGAGCATCGTTCCACACAATTGGGATATGATGACATGAATCAACCAAGTCAGCGAGTCTGACCACCAAATCCAGATAGTTGCCTCTTACGACAAGCATAGTTGCCTTTACGGCAAGCATGGGTTGCTAAAGACCTATTTTACCCCGGATTTTGAAGGGTCGCTTAACGCATGCACATCAAGGACAGATAAGTATGTTTCTAATAGACCCTACAGGTAATTTTTGTACTTGTTACTGCATACAGGGATCTGGGGGCTTCAGGGATTTAGGAGAGGGGCTTAAGGGGGTGGGGAATGTGGATTAATGGGGTTGGGAATTGGCCCTGATTAAGGGTGTGTGGTGTATCAAAAATACGGGTGTATTAGTGTGTGTGTGTGTTGGGGGGGGGGGGGGTTGCATATTATATGATTTTATTTCAGGCAGCTATTTATTTCCGTTCCATGTTTAATCCAGGGTTTTGGGGTGTGTTTTTTTCAGGAAATTGACTGATCCTGATCCAAAATATAATGTTTTTATTCAAAATAGGTACTATTTTTCAAAACTGTTGACAGCAAGTTTGATTGTATTGAGACTCATCATATAATACAGTTCAAGTTACCGGATGTGAACCCTTTGTTTTGAGAGTGCAATCAGCTGATCAGCATTTCCCACCCAGCTGTAGTTTAACTTGGTTAATGCAGGGTGCACACTTAAAGTAGATCTCCCCCAGAACACAGGACTGGCTACTTGAAATTCTTACTAGTCCTTGTCAAAGTTGCCAGTCCAAAATTTTGTGTCTATTACTTCGAACTTGAATTAGGGTTGTTTATTATTTGCACACAATAGACCTTACGGAGATATGTATTAATTATTGACTAACAATACAAATGATGGGTAGACTGTATTTCACCTGTACTTCGTGAAATTAACCTGTCACGGACGGTGGGCCGGGCTATTATTTGCAACTCCAGTTTATGGCTATTAAATAGTCATGAAGACATTCTTCTAGCGACTAGTGGCCCTCGTCAACAGCCTGCCCACAGTGATTGCTGGTCAGAGTAAACAATCACCAGCGTACACAAACACACCACTACCATGGCCCCCGGCTGAATATGTTACGCCTAAGTACAAGCCGAGAGGCCACAGTCTATTGATAATACATGCCAAATGTTCAATACAGCCAAATCAGGGCTAAATGCCTCTCATCAGTGGTAATAAAGCAGTGAGATCATTAATGGCTTGTGTTACACCAGACACTCTGGTTGCTGATGACAAACAGTGGCAGAACATTTCCATGAGTTTATCAACTTTTGATGGATATTCAGAATTCTTATACATGTCATTTCCAAATGTGACTAAAATTTTCACGACAGTTTGGAAAAAATCACCTGAAAGAGTGTCCCGGCCGTGATACTGATTATCTGAACAAGCAATTTATTTTATTTTATTTATTTATTTTTGAAAATTATTGAAGTGTTTCCACAGAATGCTTTAATTCTAAACAAAGTTTACACATAAGAGGCACCAAGACTTCCTCACTGCCCTGCTAGCATGGTGAGTTTGTATTTAAAATATTTAGTGTTTGTTGTCTAAAATACTGTACCACACTCAGCAATATACCAGTTTTATGATAGTGACCTGAAATAATCGAGTCTGGACCTGATAGGCCAGTGATTGATATCATGAGCATCAATCTACGCAATTGAGATATGATGACACGCATCAACCAAGTCTGTGAGCCTGACCACCCGATGATGCAGAAAGGGGTAGTTCATGTATATGTAGATATTTATACTAAAATTGTCTCTTTTGGGACAAAAAAATGGATTTCTTGCATTTATGGCACTTTAATTATGACAGACCAGCGGTAGAAATTGGCACTAGTCCCGTAGTCCTTGCCAAACTTCCCAATAGTTAAGGTATCATAAGGACTAGTAGAAATTTGCCATTTTTAAGGGGTTTGCTATATGTTATATATCTGGATTTACCAATTCTATGCAGACAGTAATTGGCTTCTTCATAAAACAAAGAATATTCTTACAGACCTATATATTAAAAAACTGAACTCTGACCAACAAACATCATTTTTGTTTGTTTGTTGTTTAACACAGCACTCAGCAATATTCCAGTTGTATGACGGCGATCTGTAAATAGTCAGTGATTGACATCATGAGCATCGATCCACGCAATTGGGATCGATGACATGTATCAACCAAGTCAGCGAGCCTGACCACCCGATCCCGTTAGTTCCCTTTTACGACAAGCAGAGTCGCCTTTTACGGCAAGCATGGGTTGCTGAAAACCTATTCTACCCCAGATCTTCACGGGTTTCCAGAAACATCAAGTAAAAGCAGATACCATTATCAGTTTAATTGCGTGTATTTCAATGAAACAAGAAAAGGTTCCTATCTCTTTGTGACATTAATCGACCATCAGTTTTCAAAATAACAAAGTTATTTCAATGTAAAAACATATCTACTGAGGAAACTGTCTCCCTTCTGTCACCACATTGGGATGATGATGCACAATGGGTTGTTCATGTGCGGCCTGTCAGCGGCCTGTGCATAATCAAAACTGGACCAGACAATCCAGGGATTGATATTGTGAGCAAAGATCCATAAATTGGGGTACAATGACAAGCCATCTCCTCACACACACCAGTAGTCATCCAAAGCATAAAAACCTAGCTCTGTTTCATGGAGGACAAATTTGGGGCATGATCCAAAAAATTGACATTTTAGTTTAATTGACGTGAACAAAGATTGTTCACTACCCTCGATCTCTGAAATTTAACTTGGGTATGGTTTTAATAAGCATCCCCTTTGTTAATTTTCTACTGCAAATATGTTAAATTATCTGCTGAATAAAAAAAGCAAAGGTATTTAAAATTAAGTAATATGTTTTTGTTGCACAAATAAAATATCAGATGACAAAGAAACTCTTACATTCCCATGTTCATCCATAATATATGAATGCGAGAAAGATCTACAAATTAATCCGAAATGCCAAACAAAATAATCAATAAATAATTTCATTTTTGAATTATTTATCAGCTGGGTTAACAGATAGACAAAATATATCATAAATAACAGGAGCGTAAATGTCAAGATAAAGCACAACCATATTGATTAAAAATGTCTTCCTTACCTTAGAGGAGATGACTTGATTGTCAATGTATTTTTCTGGTATAAACACTTCCTCGGTGGACGGAGGCCGGTTCCCGACAAACACGGTCCGATTTGCAGGACGCTTCTTCTTCATGCATCCCTGGCAGCAAAAAAGGGATCTTAGTTTAAAATCCTTAGAATTAGAATCCTCATTTTTTCCGTTCCCCTGGGGGGTTGGATCGGGATGCACCCGAGACTGGAACTTCCTGAGGAATGCCATCACTCTATATGTGTCACCAATATCCTAGAAACGAAGGGACATGAAATACCCATTGGGTCAGTGCACTGATGTCTACCCGATATCTTCAAATCATGTCCTTTTATTCCTAATTAAACCATCCACTTGTATAAAAACATTCACGTCTTTAATCAAGATCACAAATAATTTTCCCCGAGCTTTGTATCACATTCACATAGACTCCTTTCCACATGTTAGAAGCAGTGTCTGTTCAGCGATATGTTCGTTTCATTAAGTTCAATGATCTATGGATCATGTACAGGTATCCAAATTCCCTCTGGTGTCTTGTTTAAGTGGAAGTTCTACGACATATTTGCTTCATCATGTTGCCGGTACCGTCAGTGGAACCCGATCGATGAAAACACACCATGACAACATTCAATAAACATCATGTGGAACGGGTAGGCTTCCGATACTGAATCAATGTCTGACAGGCATTGATGTCCCACCTGACAGTGGAAGAGCCCACTGACGTCCCGTCACTACAGTGAGACAGTCGGCTTGCACTCAGACTCAGTTCTTTGAACTGCCCCGTCACCTATCACTATGGGTCACCGCCCAACAACTTAAAACAAATACCACATGACGGTGACAATTTTCAAAGAGTGCAGAAAACTGTCATTATTCCCACTATTTCATGTAATGAACACATGGTGTGTGAACCGAGCTGTTTCCTCGTACGCCTTGACAAGCCAGGTTACTAGGGACGACAGTGTTTATCACAAGATAAATAGACGATTTCCTTCTTTCAAATGCTATCAGCTTATATTGTATTCCATGTATTGATTTTGTTAACTGGGGTGTGAAATCCACCCTAGGCAAGCCAAGTTGGGTGTGATCTCTTGTTAGGAACAATAGCTTGTTAATGCCTGAGAGATCTGGGTACTTACTGAGCACATGGGGGGTTAGTACAAAATTCATTCATAATTCCTTTAGTCAGCTGATTGACAGAGAAAGCCAATTGTACCAGGATTGGTACATTTTCTGGACACTGACTTCTAGACACCGACTTCTAGCATGCAAATGTTCTAAAGATGTTTAAATTGATAATACAGAAGAATGTCCTTTCAAAATTTTAACAATATATAAAATGTCCCAATGCCATTTGGCTGAACAAAATCACTAAGCGTACCAAGCTTGGCTTTAGGGTGCATGCCTATATAGATATTGGTTTCGGAACGATTAATATTTTACAACTATTTAAAGAATATGTGTGTATGGGTATTATTAAAAGAACTGCTGTACAGGCAAATTCTTTTCAGTCTCATGTATATTTCAAATGAATGAATGAAGACTATAGAACTAATAGTATAGACTTCATTGATGAAATAGTTCAGTATCTTGTGTCAACACAATTTATACAAAACTTTTCACTCAGTTTGTTAGTCCTGCACCATGACTGTGGAATATATTTATTTTATGAAAAAAACATAATCTGAAATCAGCATAGGGAATTTTTTTTTTTTTTTAGTGTCAAGAAGGATATTGTGTAATATAAGATTTCAGAGACTAAATGTTAGTCTAACAGTTTGTTTACGCAGTATAATACCAGGCATAAGAGACAAATGCTATATGCAAGTACAGGGTTCAGGCGGATGACCTGATGATGAGGCTATATAGCTTTTGTATAACAGTGGAGTTGAGATATCAAATGAAAAAACACAATTTAGATATGTGACATTAAAGTGTGTGAGTGTGTGAGTTTGGTTTTACGCTGCTTTTAGCAATATTCCAGCAATATCATGGTGAGGGACACCGGAAAATGGGCTTCACACATTGTACCCATGTTGGGAATCGAACCCTGGCCTTCGACACGACGAGCCATCGCTTTAACCAATAGGCTACCCCACGCCCCTGTGACAGTGTAGAAAAAGGAACTCATTGTTTTCTATTTATCATATAATGGACAGTGTTTTTGATATAAATAAAACACTCCGATCACCATCCAATAAATATGCAAATGAGGGCACAAAGCAGGAACTATTTTTAAGTTTATGCAACGTCTGCCTGGTCGATAGTTTATTGACCAACTCCATAAATATAACAACATGTGTCAGGCTTAAATTTTTGGGTCAGGCATCAGCACACAGTCTAAATCCTACACATCAGTTATTTTTAATGCCAATAAAAACATTCAATGAAAGGACAGAGTTCAGAGTGGTCCCAGTTGTTGGTCTTCTTCAGTGGAGTGAGTGAGCATTGTTTTACGCTGCTTTTAGCAATATTCCAGCAATATCACAGGGGGGTCACTAGAAATGGGCTTCACACACTGTACCCATGTGGGGAATCGAACCCGGGTCTTCGGCGTGACAAGCGAATACTTTAACCACTAGGCTACCCGACCGCCCCTTTTCTTCGTGGGAATAAATAAATAAAAAGTGTTCAACCTTCATAACATTTGTTTTCAATAAAAATTATTTTTATAAAGTTCGACCTCCTTCCTCATTTTTTAAATCTTTTCTCTCATACAGCCTAGCCAATCATCAAACATGAACAGAGAAATCTGAATTTATGTCACATTGAAAGAGATCAACACGTCAACCTGGTGCTTGCTGTGCGTCTCTATTCACAACACATGAGAACTGTATGAATACACATTGCATTTTAGAAAGTGTAATCCCCCAAATTATGTAAACTTTATTCCATATTAACTTGATGCTGATACACTGTCAGCTTCATTTCAAGGTAGAATGAACATACGGACACAAGAAGTCAACTTAGCCTGAGACTATAAACGTGTGAACTATCACAACATAATGATTGGTAGGAACTAAGATGAGAGTGTTGCTTTATGGTGTAGTCAAGAGTGAGTGAGTGAGTTGGGTTTAACCCCGCTTTTAACAGTATTCCAGTTATATCGCTGCGTGTCAGCTTAATGTGGGAGGAAAGCCCGAAGTGATGCAGGTCTCAAACGTTTCCCACTTCGGTGAAACCCACGGGCACGGGTATGGTGCTGACGAACCTAGAAACATAATCGGGGCGAACCGGGATTCGAACCCACAATCATAGGTTTCTGGCATGCCCAAGGGACGCAACTCTGCACAGCGGATCGCGGCGCCTTAGACGACTTGGCCGCCCGTGCCCCCCTGGTGTAGTCAAGAGAAGACAAATATTCAGTTACTCTCTAAGGCCACACATTTTTGATTTTATGTTTCATGGATTTATTCCAGCTTTTTCACACAAGGTCGGTCAAAATAAAAATAAATAGCTGTGTCAATCATATGTTTATTTGCATGAACGTCATTCTACCGTTTAGTTAAAACTGCAGCTTGCTTCTTGAATCACTGATAGTGATGTAGACATGGAATTTATATATAACATTTTATATGCTATATTTTGTCCATATTACTAGTGGGAGACATAATAAAAATTTATATTTTTATTTTTAATTTATTTCTTTTCCAGCTGCTTTCCAGTAGAGGGGCGGGCCCATAAAACGAAAATAAAGAATGTGCAGCCTAAATTATGTAAATTACACTATCCAGACGTATGGACATAAAAAGCCGGGACCAACCCCAACATTTACCCATTGGATGCAAAAAGGTATGACTGTTGGAATGAATGAAACTAATTATATGTTAGATTTATCTGAGATTTGTCCAGTTAAAAATTACAATCAATGTTCAGAAAGTCCACAAAAGACTAAGGAAATCCCCATAAATAACCCGTGCAGATTCCGGGGTAGAATGGGTCTTCAGCAACCCATGCTTGCCGTAAAAGGCGGATATGCTTGTCGTAAAAGGCGACTAACGGGATCGGGTGGTCAGGCTCGCTGACTTGGTTGATGCATGTCATCGATCCCAATATTGTGGATTGATGCTCATGATATCAATCACTGGATTGTCTGGTCCAGACTCGATTATTTATAGACCGCCGTCATAAAGCTGGAATATTGCTGAGTTCGGCGTTAAACAACAAACCAACCAACCAACCAACCCCATAAATAAGAAGCGTAAGGCATCACACGTACTTTGTGTTGTACAGTGTTCCCTTGCTATTGCGCCCTTCAATACAGTGCTTACCCGGTCATAGCATGCAGTAATGCATGGCCCCAAAGTTATGTACATTATTAATAAACTCAAGTTTTACACTAACACAATATTGCGAGCATGCAACACCGAAAATACAAATCAACAAATCCGAACTGAAGTCCACAATTTAACCCTATTATTACCCTGTTTGGATACGTCATTGTATTTGTTGTTAATGCAGTGGTCGCCCAGGGGCCCCTATTGTAATGTAACGAGAGTCCCTTAATAACAGCTCACTAACACACAGAACAAAACATCAGGGATCATGAATATTTGGGGGGATATATTTCATGAAATTGTGGGCTCAGTCTTTCCTTCAAAAACATATTCAAAAATACTCAATCTCATTAAAATCAGATCTTAGTTCTCGCTCCTGCTAAACAAAGAGGACATCCCATTACTGGTCACGTCAGACCGACCTTGCGCGAACTTTGACAGACCAGTGGAATGACCAATCAGAAGTCAGTTTTCTCGTGCTTCACGGCACTAATTTCAATTTGGCGACTACGCTTCAAAACATATTTTGACAAATTCTCGATTACAAATTTGAAACCTGAACAAAAGAACATTCTGGAATGGCTAATAGATGGTCTAGATTGTATGGATTCTGTCGTTAAACCCGTAACTATTGTTCGGAATACCCCGTGTTAAAATTTAGAAATCACATTCCGACTGTCACTTTCATAATCTGGTAAGCGACGCTCTGATTGGTTGGATGATAGGTCGTTCTGACGTGACCTCTAATGGGATGTCTTCAGATCTTTGTTTAGCGATAGCGAGAACTAAGGTCTGATTTTAATGAGATTGAAAAATATTCTGATCCCTAACTTT